TCTTTCAGCTTGTGTTTTCTAAGTGAAGTCAATGGGACAATGGCGCATGCCTATAAGAAGAGGGGCCCGTGCGGTAAGTAGCATTCCCACTGTTCTTGTTGCCCCAATCATACACAGCAGTCACCATGCTCCACGGGCACTGCATTCAGCTGGACCTGCAGCGTGGGCAGACTCACCCCATGTCACCCGAACGTCTGAGTGAGCAGAGGGACTGACAGCCCCTGGAGGCTGTGCTTTACATTCTCATCAAAGTCCTTTGAACACAGGGAAGGCAATGGAGTTCTGAGAAACATCAACGACCAAGGAACCTATCATGTCCTTCCCTACTCATTTACTTTCCTCTATCAGCCAATTGCTTACCCTGGAAATGATGACATAGAAGGAGAGGGCAACCCATGGTTCTTTTCCCTTTCAGTCCTTATTCACACAACACTGAGCAGAAGGTAGGAATCAGGGGAGAAAGTGTACACGTTGAAAAGTAAAATTAAAACAGTTGAGTGAGTTTCATGCAGCGTTTCCACGGCATAGGTAAGAAAGAAATACATACGCATATACAACCTATGAAGGATAAATTGTGTAATTTGTAATTTTGCACTGAAAAGCTCTTACATATGCAATTAAAACTCACATTACATGAGATAAAGATGAGTGAAAAAATTCATGCTGATGATGCCAAATTTTAGTTTTTCTTTACTTAGAACAACAAAATACCCTGACAAGTTGAGAGAGAGAGACTTTGGAAAAAAGGAAAAGCTTCTATGTTTTAGTACGGCTAACACCACTTTTTTCCTGCTTTTCAAAGGACCCACATTCTCATTTTGCCCTGGGCCCTGTCAGTTATGAAGCTGTGGCTGGACACATTTTCTGATTAATTTAAAGCTATGGAGGGTGACAAGTCTAAGGTGAGGAGGTCATCTGCCTCATCTTCTAATAGGCACCATCTGTTTTTATGGTTTTTAATTACATAAGTGACTTAGATTGAGTCCCCAGAAGCAGACTCAGAGGGGGAACTGTTCTAAGACAATCCAGGGGAGCTTGAACTGGAAGGAGGCCAGAAAGAAAGTGCAATTTCAAGTAAAGTCCCCTGGAGCCAGTGAAGTCATTTAGGGTGAATCACAGGGGAGCTGTACAGAATCAAAATGCATGCCTTTGAGTTGCCCAATCAAGGGCTAGACTGCGGGAGTCTGTATACTCCTTCTGTCAGTTATTTGTTAAAAGCTGGGTGGGGACAGGAACATGAATGACCAGCCATGTCTGGCTCCCCAGGCCACAGGCAAAGCTGTTTCTGGTAGCCTGAAGTCACCCTAGCAACAAAGAGACACAGGTGCTGACTGCTGGAGGGCCAAGCATCTTGGGTGCCAGAAAGCATAAAACATAAATACATTCTAATAAAACTGCCTGGAACATCAGAAATGTGGTAAACAAAAAATGCTCCTCCAGAGGAGGGTAACTCTGGTAACAATGTGATGTGTGTTCTTCCAGGTCATTTTCTGTGCTCTAACATTCAATCCACAAATATTTACAAGTGCCTGCTGTGTGTCCACTAGACGCTGCAGATATATAAGATGGACTTGGTCTCTGATCTCACATATCTTACCTTCTAGTGGGCATGGTACTTGTCTGACTGTCCTGTATCTCGCCTGTTTCACTTTACGATGTATCACGGATACTTTGCTACATCAACATATGCAAATTTGCTACATATTTTACTGGCCACATAGAATTCCACAAAATGGACATGGGCGTAATTAACCACTTCCCTGTTGATTAAGCAGTGATTCCTAAAGGAAAATACCTGAGAAGAAAATAAAGCAAATATCTTCTTCAGATCTGTGTGTCAGTATATTCTGAGGCTGACTGAGAGATCACTGTTGTAGGATGAAGATGTGTAGGGATAAGTAGAGCAATCTACCTGAAGTTAAATCTAAGAGAATGTTTCAGGAATATTCTGCCTGGGTAAGGATGAGCAGAGGCGTGGGAGTCAGGCCAACCTGAGCATGAAGGCCATAGTGATGTGAGGAAATTGTACAGATGTTGCCATTATAAACCATTATGAAGGGCGCCTGGGTGGCTCAGTCGGTTAGACGTCTAACTCTTGATTTCAGCTTGGGTCATGATTTCGGGGTCTTGGAGTCAAGCCCCATGTTGGGCTCCAGGCTCAGCACAGAGTCAGCTTGAGGTTCTCTCTCTCTCTCTCTCTCAAATAAATAAATAAATAAAATCTTAAAAAAAAAAAAAAAAAGAAGAAGAAAGAAGCCATTATGAGTCTTTGGAGGAACTTCAAGTCCTTTTACAATAGGTGTATATTGTATGATTTCCAGTTATTAGTTTACCACGCAATACTCTGATGCCTACTAATAATACAGACGGGGAAAATAAAGACCAAGGTCACACAACCAGGGAGTGGTGAAACCTGGATTTGAACTTCAGTCTGACTCCTTAACCCATATTTTTTCCGAACACAATGCTGTCTGCACTTTTGCTAAATTGTCAGCTTTTAAGTGGCAGAGTATAAATTGGGTTTGTATTTTACTGCCTGGCCCAGGAGAGGGGGGGAAGATCATGATTAGGGACAATGAAAGTTGTTTATCAGCAGGATGAGCCTATAGGGTAGAAAACTAACTCTTTATTTTTAAGTAAATGTTAAAATAGAAATGTAACATGCATTCAGAAGTGCACAAATCAGAAGTTGCAAGGAGTTTTTATAAAGAACCCCTGTGGAACAAGAGCTTCGCACTCTTACATTACCAGCAACCAACCCAAAGCCCCATCGGGATACACAGTTCTGATTCCTCTCATCATGGATTTATTTCACCTGTTTTAGAACTTCAAAAATGGAATCACTTCAGGTGGTAGGCAGCTTCAAAATGAGTTCCAATGACCTCTGCCTCCTGGTATTGATGGCCTTGTGTCATCTCCTCCCCTTGAGTATGGGCTGGAACTCATGACTTACTTATAACAATAGAATGTCACAAAAGTGAGAGATGGCACTTCCAAGATTAGCAGACAAAGGTCCTACCTTGTTCTCCCTCTTGCTCCCTCTGATAGAGACAACTGCTGTGTCACTGAACTGCACCACCAGAGACCCTAAGGCAAGGAGGTCACAGCCCCCAGCCAGTCACCTATGAAGAAGGAGTCCCGTCCAGAACCAAATAAGCACACTTGGAGGCAGATCCTCCCTCAGTTCAGTTTTCAAACAAGACGACAGCTCCCGCGGACAACCTAAATTACAGCACTGAGGCAGTGGCACTGGCTAAGCCACACCTGGGTTCCTGAGCCACAGAAACTGAGATAAATAAATGTATGCTTTAAGCAGCTAAATGTTGTGGTAATTTGTTATGGAGCAACAGATAACTAATTTATGGTAAGTGCTCATTTGCATCTGGCTTCTTTCAGTCAACATGAAATTTGTGATTCAGCCATTATTTCTGCTTGGAGCAAGAGTTCATTCACTTTTGTTGTATTCTATTGTATTAAGTTATATTTTATTTATTTTGCTCTTGATAGACATTTGGGTTATTTCTAGTTTGGGGCTATATAAATAGTGCTTCTTTGAACACTATTCTGCAGGCCTCTTGGGACATATATATACATGTATGTGCTGAGTATATACTAGGAGTACGACTGCCAGGTCCTAGGCTACATATACTTTCACTTCCCACACTACTGTCAGTAGTTTCTAAAGTGCACATATTGATTTACTACCAGCAGTGTGTGGGAGTTCCAGCAGCTCCGCATCTTCATCAGCTTTTTTCATCTTGGCCATTATAGTGCGCATATAGTGGTATCCCATTGTGGTTTCCATTTCCGTGATTAATTAAATTGTGTTTTAAATTTTTAACTAAATTACTTTTCTTTTCCCTTATTAAGATGAGTACCTTGTCATGGTTTTTTTGAGTGATTTTGGATATTCTATTCTGTGAAGTGCCTGTTCAAGCTTAGTGCCAATTTTTCTGTTGGGTTGTCTATTTTTTTCTGGAATCAAGTACTTTTTTGGGAACAAAGTTCTTGTCAGAAATGAATATTGATCTTCTGTCACTCTTTGGTTTACCTTTTCACTCTTCAGTGATCATTTTGCTGATCACTTAGATCAACAATCCATCTGGAATTGACTTTTGTATATGGAGTGACATAGGATCAATATAAATTTTTTCCATAAATGACATATAAGCATTTATTGAAAAAAGAAATCCTTTATCCATTGTATTGTCACCTTTGTCATAAATGAAGTGACCTTATCTATCTGGGTAGGGGCCAAACCTGCTGCTCTCTTCCATTGCTCTATTTTTATTCTTTTGTCAGTACCACATTGTTTTAATTATCATAGTTTTAATGAGTCATGTTGTGTGATATATAGTCCTCCAACTTTGTTCTTTTTCATGTCTTACTATGAATCTTCATATAAATTTTAGATTCAGCTTGTCAATTTACAGACAGACAGACAGACACACACACACACACACACACACACAGGAGAGATACTGATTCTTACTGCATTGAATCTGTAGAAAGTTTGGAGATTACTGATTTACAATATTGAATCATGCAATCAATGACCAGTGATATCCGTTTATTTAAGTCTGATTTATCTCAAAGTTTTTTAGTTTTCCATATAGAGTTTTCATAAACTTTTTGTTATATTTATTCCTAGGTGCTTGATTTTTTAAAACATTTTTTGTTATAAAATATGTTATAGTCAGGAAACCACAAAAGGCAAATATATAGCTTAATGATATTATAAGACAAATACTCTTGTAATCACCATCCAATTAAAGAAATAGAACTTTGCCTGAAGCCCCCCTGGTGTCCTGATCCAATTATAAGTTCTTTCTTCCAAAAAGTAATCATTTTCCTCACTTTTATAATTGACTCATCCTTAAATTTCTTATAAATTTATCATCCAAGTCTGTATCCCTAGACAGCATGGTTTAGTTTTGTTGTTTTAAATAATGACTTATTCTCTTTTACTCTATAAGTCACCTTTCCATCCTTTTACTGACCTTCAATAAATCTGTTGAAGAATACAGGCCACTGGACTTGTAGAGTTCCTCACAATATGGATTTTGCTGAGTACATGTCCATGGTGTAATTAAATATGTTCCTCTGTCCTCTATGTTTCCTGGAAAATAAGAAACTAGTCAATCCTTTTGGGAATACTATAGACTGTGGTGTATCATTTGTCAGGGAGCAGATAATGTCTGCTTATTGGTCTCTTTGTGATGTCAGGAGCCACTGATACTCAGTGAAGATACAAATTTTTTTTCTTTTTTTTTTTAAAGATTTTATTTATTTTTTAGAGAGCGAGCGAGAGAGAAACAGCATGAGAGGGGAGAGGGTCAGAGGGAGAAGCAGGCTCCCCGCTGAGCCGGGAGCCCGATGTGGGACTCGATCCCAGGACCTTGGGATCATGACCTGAGCCGAAGGCAGACGCTTAACCATCTGAGCCACCCAGGCACCCCAAATTTTTTTTTCAATCACCAGAACCCATAGTTCTTAGGAGTTAATCTTGCATTTCCAAATTCTGCCAAGTCCCAACATAAATTCATCAGAGATTGCAAAATTGTGATATTCTAACTTGATCACTTCTTTTCCACTTATTGGCAGGAAAACTTTTATGAAGAGATCTAGCCCCTCATCTACCATTTGGTTTCACAGTGATACAGTTCACATTGGAAAGGCAGGATAAAATTTTGGTTATTCTCTCACCCCACCGAATTCTACCTCTACCATTCTAAAAATCAGTTTTCATTATAATGAATTCTTCCCCAATGATCCTCATAAGTTGACTTTTTTTTTTTTTTGGTATCTGTAGAAACCCATGGATTTAAACCTAGTTGATGGATTTTAATTCATTGTAATTATTATCCCACTGAAGTTCAAATTGTTCTATTGTCCACGGAAAGCCTCCTCACATTTTGGCCACTGAGTCCTTTTGAAATGGTGCTCTTTGATAACTTCCTTGTTATTTGGTCTCACAAAATTTTCCAAGTACATTTCACACAAATGCACCAGAGACCTTAAATCAGCCATTTGAAGACCATAATCTGAGCCCTATGGATATTTTTTTTTTTACTGAGTTGATCATTGGTTCTAGGCCTATTCAATAGACAAAGACTGTGGGGCGCCTGGGTGGTTCAGTTGGTTAAGCGACTGCCTTCGGCTCAGGTCATGATCCTGGAGTCCCAGGATCGAGTCCCGCATCGGGTTCCTTGCTCAGCAGGGAGTCTGCTTCTCCCTCTGACCCTCCCCCCTCTCATGCTCTCTCTCTATCTCATTCTCTCTCAAATAAATAAATAAAATCTTTAAAAAAAAAAATAGACAAAGACTGTGTGTGTGTGTGTTCGACACATTTTTCATATATAACTATATACATAGTATATAGTTATATATAAATTTATATAAACATAGACCTAAATACCTTTATCTATATAAATATGGTTAAAATGCCTTGCCTGGGTGGCTCAGTCGATTAAGCACCTGCCTTCAACTCAGGTCATGATCTCAGGGTCCTGGAATCAAGCCCTGGGTCTGGCTCCCTGCTCAGCAGGGAGTCTGCTTGTCCTTCTCCCTCGCCCTCCCCCACTTGTATGCACACATGCTCTCTTTCTCACTCAAATAAATAAAATCTTTAAAATATATATATACAGCTAAAATGACTTATTAATTATAGACAGATAATTCTAATTCAGCACTGCAGTTTTTAATAAACCTCCTCTATATTACCTCTGTATTCTATTTTCTCCGTCCTGAGAACCCAAGTTCCCTAGCTCACAACGGATGTTATAACTAGAATACTCCAGGGGCACCTGGGTGGCTCAGTCAGTTAAGCATTGGACTCAGGTCATGATCTCAGGGTTGTGAGACTGAGCCCTGTTTTGAGCTCACACTGAATGCAGAGTCTGCTTGTCTCTCTCCCTCTGCTCCACCTCCCACGTGTGCACAAATTCTCTCTCAAATAAATAAAATCTTTAAAAAAAAATAGAATACTCCATAATTTCTCATTTGTTCCATTCAATCTTACTCACAGAACAGACTCAGAATTGCAATTTCAATATTATGTTTAATAAACAATGATTGAAAACAGTTTTAACTTCATTTGGTGTTTGTTCAGTGTTTCTCTGTCATTTATAGGACTGATACCTACATTGCCAGAGCATAAAGCCTTTGCATATGATAGTCCTTCCTGTTTAACCCTCATTTACCTCTCATGCTACAAGCAGTACTATATTTAATGCTCACTAGCCATACTTATATTGATTATCTCCAGTCATTTTGGCTGTGTGATACTCTTTTTTTAATAGTTTCCTTCATAAAGGTTCATGGAATTAAGATAACCTGAGTTCTTGCATGTTGATTAATAGTTGGTCTGTACCCTTTATAGTTAAAAGTTAGTTTTGTTAGGATTAAAATTCCAACCTCCCATTTTAGGTCTAAAATTTCTCTAGAATACATCTTGGTGTTGATCATTCTGACTTACTATTCTCAGGTATGTAATATACTTGTTCAATATGCAGTTTCTATTAGTATTACTTTTACTATTCTATTATTATTTTAGAAAAGTTCTTAAATTATACTGTTAGTATTTGTTGTTTCCTTGCTTTGATTTTATTCATTTGGTGCTCCTATCATTTGTATATTTGATTTCTTTTTTTTGCCTATATTCAGTATTTGTCACTTTCTCTTGAATCTTTCAACTGCTTTTTGTATTTTAAAATTTTAGAATATTCCATAATTTATGGAGTATTTTTCATCTATTTTTCATAAGGCATTATCTGTTGTGTTTATTCACTCTTGTGTTTCTCCTGATTGACTTTTTTTACTTCTTTTTTAAATGAATTCTTTCCATTCGAATTTATTCCTGAGATCTGTTTTATGTTTGAATATTAAGCCAACTATGCATCACCAGAATAAAACCAATTCAGTTGGGATGTATTATAGTTTTACATACCATGGATACAGGTTGTGCTTTTGTTTATAATTTTTCCATGCATGTTCAGAAGAGAAATTGGCCTGTGATTCCATTCTTGTAATACTCTTTTCAGCTTTGGTCTGAAGCTTATGCTACCTTCCTTAAAAAAAAAAAAAAGGGATTTGAGTAGTGTTTTATTTCTGTTTCCTGGAAGATTTTTAAGTAAGATTGCTATTTCTTCCCTAAATATTTGGAAGAATTTACCAAGAAACTCAGTTATCTCTGGAAATTGTTTTCTGTAAAGGTACTTAATCAAGGTTATTAGATACTCTTTTCTTTCTTGGGTTATTGTTCAGTTGCATTTTTTAAGAAAATGTAATTTTGGATGAATTTTCAAATTTCTAAGCATAAAATTCATCATAATTTTAGCAGCACTGAGATATAATTTACATTACATAATTTAACATCATTTCACCCATTTAATGTAAACAATTCAATGCAATCCACGGAGTTGTTCAATCAGCACCAAAATCCAATTTTAGAAGATTTTTGTCCCTCCACAAAAAACTCAAGACACATCAGTAGTCTTTTGCCATTCTCCTCAATCCTCTCAACCCTAGGCAACCACTCATCTACTTTCTGTCTCTACAGATTTGCCTATTCTGGGCATTTCATAATAAATGGAGTTATATAATATGTGGTCTTTTGTGAGTGATTTCTTTCACTTTGCATAATGCTTCCATGGTTCATCCATGCTGTAATAACATGTATCAATAATTCATTCCTTTTCATAGCTGAAAAACATTTCGTTGTATGAATATTCCACATTTTGTTTATTCATTGATCAATAGATTGACATTTGGGTTATTTCCACCTTTTGATATTATTAATATGCTTCTATGAACATCACTTAAAAGTTTTTGTGTGGACCTAAGTTTTTACTTCTGTTGAGTATATATCTGGTAGTGGAAAGTGCGGGATCACGAATAACTCTTACGTTCAAATTTTGAGAAACTGTCAGACCGTTTTGTAAAATGACAGCACTATTTTACATTCCCACTTGCAGAGTATGTGGGTTTCAGTCTCTTGTCTTATGGCCTAGAACATGACCTACCATGGAGAGTGTTTCATATGTACTTAAGAAGGTGAATTTAAGTCTTGTTGGGTTAAGTGTTTTACAGATCTTTGTTAGGTCTAGTTAATTTATAGCATGGCTCAGGTCTTCTATCTACTGATCAATCTTCTGCCTACTTGATCTTGATCTATCCATTATTGACACTGGGGTATTGAAGTCTTCAACTAATATTGTTGAATTCTCTATTTCTCCCTTTAATTCTTCATGCATTTTGCTATCTTCTTCTCGCATTTTGGTGTTCTCTTATTAGTTGCACATGTTAATGATTTTTATGTCTTCCTGATGGATTGACCCTTTTGTCACCATAAAATCTCCCTCTTTATATCCAGCAACTACTGTTTTAAGGTCTATTTTGTCTAGTATTTGTATAGCCACTACAGCATTCTTTTTTTTTTTTTTTTAAGATTTAAATTTTTGACAGAGACACAGTGAGAGAGGGAACACAAGCAGGGGGAGTGGGAGAGGGAGAAGCAGGCCTCCCACTGAGCAGAGAGCCCGATGTGGGGCTTGATCCCAGGACCCTGGGATCATGACCTGAGCCGAAGGCAGACGCCCAACCGACTGAGCCACCTAGGCGCCCCAGCCACTACAGCATTCTTATGGCTGCTATTTGCATGATGTACATTTTTTCATCTTTTATTTTGAATGTATTTATATCTTTAAATCTAAGGAGTATCTCCTGTAGATAACATGTTTTTTGTTTTTTATCCAGTTTGATAATCCTGCCTTTTGACTGGATTGTTTCATTCATTCACATCTAATTTTATTATTGATATGGTAAGGTCTATGTCATTTTACCTTTTGTTTTCTACATGTCTCATGTTTTGGGGGGGTTTTGTTGTTGTTGTTGCTCTATTCTTCTTCCATTGTCTCCTTATATATTAAATGGATAGTTTCTAGTGTAACATTTCATTCCATTTATTATTATCAATTTTTTTTAGTTAATGGCTGTCCTAAAGCTTACAATCTACATCTTATCAGAATCTACTTCAATTTAAACTAACTTCATTCCAGTCAGATATAGAAACTTTTCTTTTATCTACCTCTCTTCCCTCATCCTTTTTTGCTTTTGTTACATTTATATACATCACATACTCAACAACACACTGTCATAAGTATGACTGTAAATAATCTTACCTCTTTTAAGGGAACTGAGAGAAGAAATAAGAGCAAATAAATATTAATAGGGTTTGTTAGGTTAATCTGTTTATTTACCATTTCTGGTTCTCTTCATTTCTTCCTAGGGATTCAGGTTATGCTCTAGTGTCATTCTTACTCTAACACAGCTTTGTTCCCACTGCCTCTTTTGCCCGTATTGTCAAATATACTACATATCTGTTATGTGCACAATAATATAACATTTATGCACTTTTAAATCAGTTAAGAAAGGAGAAATGTGAATTTATTTTGTTTTTTTAGAATTGCCTACACCATTATTTTAATCGGAATTCTTTGTCTTGTTTTGTCGTTACGGATTTGAGTCTGATACCATCTGAAGAACCTCCGTTAGTAGTTCTCGTGAAGCAGGTGTTCTAGCAATAAATTCCCTCAGTTTCTGTTTCTGTTAGCTGTTAGGTGATACACTGATGATACATGGTGGAGTGGTGGGGAAAACTAAAACAAGATGTATGTATTATGTATGTTTTACTTAAGTGGCTTTGGCAAACTGTAATGTGATAGAAAGCATACAAAGCTACCATCACAGTTCCCCAGGAATGTTCCATAGACTGTTGATGTTGGTAAGGAAGATGTGAATCTCAAATCTTTCATTTGTATTGACCTTATCATCATCAATTCTTCTCCCAGCAATGCAATAACAATAGTTGAGTTCTAAAGTATACCTTCCTCTGTTCCCACAGAAATTGTTCCACAAATTCATAAAGTTCTCAAAGGTGAAAAGTTTCTGTGATGCTTATCAAGTACACAAATGTCAATCAAAATGACAAGGTCACATTGTCCAAGAGCAATATTCTGTGAGATCACCCAACTTTAAATGTATGCACATATTCTAAATACAACTCGATCTGGGACACGTTTTGGTCAATGGAGTGTGAGCAGATATGATGCAAGCAGAGGTCTTAAATGGGCTTAAGTGGGCTCACCTCCCGTGTTTCAGTGGCCACAGCGAGAAGAGTGTGCCCTGGAGGCAGCTACCCGCCCCCCCGTTGGGCCCTGGGGTCAGATGTGTGGGACAGACCTCAAATGGATCCAACCATGGAGCAAAACCAGCCATCTGGAGGTCTAAAACACAGTCACCACAGCTAACCCCTACATCAAAAAAACCCAACATCTTGCTGATGTCACCAAGTTTTAGGATGATGTGTTCCACATTATTACAGCATGAGTGGACTAACACAGTATCTTCCAAACTATTGTTACACAGATGGCTGCCACTGTGCCTATACGTGAGGCAACTGTGTCCTCAGAAATTGTGAGAATTCTTGAACTCTTGGTGCCTCTCCAACACATTTCACATGGTTAAAATTTCCCCAAACAAGTTTGGTAATGTGCCATAAAGACCTCTCCCTAAACTTTTATCAAATATAAACAGAGTTCTTTCTATTTATTTTATGCTTGTATGTAGCTATAATACATTTTATGACTACAAAAGGATGAAAAATTGTACAGGAACATCTTTGGATAGCTGTTATTCACAAGGGAAAATTATAATCAAAATAGGCATTTTGCTGAATGTAGAGCACTGATGCTCCCAGTGTCTCTAAAAGCCAAGTGAACAAAGGCACTTAATAAGGATGGAATCCTGCTCTTCATTTGAGACGGAACAAGCTGTTCTAAAGTGGCGGAGGGATGCTCTTAGCAGCTATTTGCAACACTCTGTGAGCTTGGTTATTACGTTGATATGAAGCAGCCTATTGTCCAAATGTAACTAACTACAGAACCTTGAAAAGTAGAAAAAGAGAGAAAGAGCCAGAGAACTCATTTCATTCATTCATTCATTCACCAAATATTCACTGACCAGGTTGGCTATGTGTATAACAGCAATGCTGAGAACTACACAGAACACAGAGATGTATCCCCACTCTCAGAGAGCTCAGATATCAGCAGGGAAGAGAAGATGCAGATGCCTTATGGCAGTTCCAGGTGTGTCCTATTAAATACACCGTTCACAAGTTTAGAGGAGAGAAAGGATCCATATCTTGCTTGGATTCTCAGTGAAGCTTTCCCAGAGAAGGAGACATAAGGGCAGTGACTAGAAGAGTTTTTGACATAATACGTAGAGCTGGAAGGGAGCAAAGATGTAGAGATGATTAGACCCATAGGTTAAAAACAAGTCTGAAAAGTGAAATTAAAGCCAAATTGTGGAAAGTTCTAAATGTCATTCTTAAACATTTGGCTTTATTGTGTTGGCAACGGGTGTCATGGAAGGTTTGGGCAGAGCAATAGCATGATCCATGAACCCTGGGAGGCGTAATAAATGATGTAAGGAGAGCCTGAAGTAGGAAGACCTACTATTCTCTGAAGCAATCATCATAATCCACATGTAAAATAATAAATGGTGGAGTAATGGCAACGCAAATAGAAGAAAGAAGTATGAGAGACGCTATAAAGGAAAAACTGCCAGGGCTTGATCACTGATTAGGTACATTCATTTGTTCATTTAAGAAGTGTTATAACTAGTGTTATAGTTACATATGGCATGTAGTAACTGTGCTAGTCACTGGCGATGCAAAATAGACGAGATCTCTTCCTCATGGACCATACGGTGAGTAACTCTCTTAAAATGGCTGTGAAATGTGATGAAGGCTATGAACGAGAGGTACATGGTGTTATGAGAGCTTATGGTAGGGGGATTTGATGAATAGAACAGGTAAGGGAATGTTTCCTTGGCAATGTGACACATGACCTGATAAAGATGAGGAGGCATTAACCAGGTGCAGACTGAAGGGGATATTTCATGTAGAGGGGTAAGCATGGACAATGAACCACTGAAGTATGTAGGTGTGAAAGGAGTCCACTGTGGGCTGGACTCCTGAAAAATGAACGGGAGAGGGGTGCAAGATGAGGCTGCAGAGATCATGCCCCCATCATGTCCAGGGGATGCAGTGCCCTGTAGACCAGATACTCAAAGTGCCAGCATACAGTCAGATAAGGAGCTCATTCTAGAATGTAACAACACATTGCTATTTTATCCTAAGAGAAATGCGAAGTCATGGAAGGATTCGAATAGGAAGTGGTGGTGGCTGCATTACGAGGCATGGATTGGAAGGCAGCCAGAGTTCATGAAAAGAAGATGAAGAAGTCTCTCTCTGAAAATTTATTTTCCTGGTGAAGTAAGAGGTATCCTCTTCAGATCAGAGAGCAGGGACCCAGTGTCTAGTGGTGACATGAAAAGAGTAGAGGAAGTCTGGAAGAGCCATTGTGAAGAGCTGTAAGTAAAGGAATGGAAAAAAGAAATGGGAATGACTGGGCAGTTAAAATAAGACAGCCTATGTTGTTGACCAGGTTGACACAGGCCTGTGACGGATCCAACAAACTTGTTGTGCTGAAACCAGGTCCAGAGAAGATCAGTGTTAGAGATGTGCAGAAGGCATCTGCATCGAGGCTCCATGGAAAGGTAAGTTAGGTTGGAAGTCTGGGAATAATGGCAGGATGGATCAGGGGTGAAGTACAGTGAATAAGAGGTAAAACGATCCCACTTAACCAGTGGATGGTGTCAAAAACCAAACTCCACATACTGAATAAAACAAAACAGAAGGATGAGCTTATTTCAAGGCTTCTGACCTCCAACCTAGGGAACTCAAAGCTCTGGGAGCAATCAATTCTGAGTCGTTCGCAGGCTAAGGGATTTTTATGGGGTAATGCAGAAGTTATTCAGTATTTTCCAGCTGACTGGTTGCCTAGTCGTCTATCTTATTTGGATCAGGGTAGCTGAGTCAAAGGAACAAGGAAGTCCAGAGAAGGTGTGATCAGAGTTGGCATTTGGGGATTGGCTGGTGTCCTTTGCTGATTTCTAAGCAGAGCTGTACATTCCTGTAACTTAGATTAAGTTTCCTTTATGTGTGGCAATTGACCATCTTCATTCTATCCCTGACATAAGTGACTCCATTTTAGTTTGGTTCTACAGTGGAAAAGGAATGCTGTAAACATAACACCTAAGGCCTGACCAAAGGATTATCACTGTTCTACAAACTGTATACAAATACAGGTTCAGAGGCCAATTATCTGAGTTCTACCTACTTAGTGGATAGACAGTTGTATATTCCTTACAGAGTTGTTAGGAAAATTAAATTCTTTCATACTTAAACAGTGCTTAAAATAATGCCTAGGAGGGGGGCCTGGGTGACTCAGTGGGTTAAGGTTTGACTTCAGCTCAGGTCATGATCTCAGGGTCCTGGAATCGGGCCGGCCTGGGGCTTCCTGTTCAGTGGGGAGTCCGCTTCTCCCTCTCCCTCTGCCTCCCCGCCCCCACTTGTGCTCTCTCTCTCTCTCAAATAAATAAATAAAAATCTTTTTAAAAAATAATGCCTAGAGCGTGCGGGGTAGGTGTCTTTTTATGATAATCACTTGAGACCAACAAGGAATAACCAACGGGACCCTAAAAAGGAAGTAAGCCACTGAAGGTGTTATGACTAGTCCTTGCTCAACGGTGCTATCAATAGAAATGTTAAAAGGATTTAAGTCCCTGGTAGCTTTCTATAAAAGACCAACCCTAGAGGCCCTCACTGGCAACCCTGTTGGGACCCCTCTCACTCTTGAGAGCTTTTTCTGTATCTTCACTTAATAAACTTCTATCGCTTTACTCAAAAAAAAAAAAAGCCTAGGAGACATAAAGTACTACTTATGAGAGAGCTAACCATCATTGTCAATACAAAACGAAGTCATAACTAGTAATCACAATAACGTCCTGAATTCATGGAACTCTTTACAATATGCCAACAACGGTGTGGGGTAAGCAGAAACTACAGAAATGAAGAGTTATTTGTAGAAATTAACACAGCAAAGATTTAATGGACGGCAGTGGACATCCACTCAGTCGTTCCCTTATTAAGTCCCTTATTAAGTATCCTCGCTCCTGGGCGGTGCAAGCACGGCACTTGTCCGAAGTTTAGACCACTTTTTATTTTTATTATTATTTTTTACCACTTTTTTTTTTTTAAGATTTTATTTATTTATTTGAGAGAGAGAATGAGATAGAGCAGGAGAGGGGGGAGGGTCAGAGGCAGAAGCAGGCTCCCCGCCGAGCAGGGAGCCCGATGCGGGACTCGATCCCGGGACCCCAGGATCACGACCTGAGCCGAAGGCAGTCGCTTAACCAACTGAGCCACCCAGGCGCCCCTATTTTTTACCACTTTTTAAACGTGCTTCTACATCTCTCGCTCAGTTATTCGACCAGTAACGCCTTTCTGCAAATCCCAATTCCGAAAACCGCCTACCTTCCGCACCTCACTCGCCTGGAAGGCCCCGCCTTTCGGCCTCAGGCCCCGTGGGCTTGCGTGCTGACGCACAGCGAGCGTGCTGACGTCTCCGCGCACCGCCCCCGCAGGCTCCGCCCTCCGGCTTGAACCGAAGTCCCGCGCCGCGGAGGACGGTGAGGCGGGAGCCAACGGCCGGCGTCAGGGGGTGGGCGCGGGAGCGCGGCGTCCAGGGGCTGGCCTAGCTGGGGCCGGAGACCCTGCGCCTTCGGGCCGAGCCGCCGATCCTCCGCAGCCGCGGGATCGCAGCCGCCTGGCCGTGGGCGACCCGGCACTCCCGGGCGCCAGCGGGCATTGTCTCCGCCGCCGGCGTCCCCCGAGCCCCCCCTCCCCCCCCGGGCCATGATCGACTCGGTGAAGCTGCGCCGCGACAGCGCGGCCGACTTTTTCTCGCACTACGAGTACCTGTGCGCGCTGCAGGACTCGGTGCCGCTGCCCTCGGTGCGCGCTTGCCTGCGGGAGGGCGTGCTGGACTTCAATGCCGACCGCCTGCGCATCGTGGACTGGGCGCCGCTCTTGAGCACCCTCAAGATTAATAAAGATCTGCCCCTAGTCTCTATCAAGAGCTTCTTCCAGCCGTGGCTTGGCGAAACAGGTTTGTAGTTCCCGCTTCCAGGGGCCCTCGTGTCGGCGCGGCGACGCGGGATTCGAGACGCCGTCCGGTGGAGGCCGGACGCCAGCCCGGGTGGCGGGTGCTGTGGTTTGGGTGCAGCACGCCGGGCGTGCGGCCTAGGACTCTCACCAGCTCGGTGGCCCGGGGCGAGTCACTGCAGGCCCGTAGGCCTCAGCGTTCCCATCCGGGATATGGGCTAACAGGGCGCGCTGTATGTGGCGATTGCAAAGATGCAGCGAGTCACTGCTTGTAAAGCACCTGGCGCAGTTTGGGACATCATTAAGCGTTCGACAGATGTTACCTGGTTTTCTGAATGATTTAGCCGGACAGAACACAGCGATGAGGAAAAGTGATACATCGCAGCCTTTTGCTTCATTTCGTTTTGAATAAGACATAGCTCTGTGGGGGGGGGGGGGGGATTGTTTTTGTTTTGTTTTTAGTGACATCTTATAGTGGATGGAGCACAGATGTGAAGGGAGCCTAGGGTTTGAATTCCAGGACTTACACTGTGTGGCCTGAGCAAGTTACTTTTTTTTTTTTTTAAAGATTTTATTTATTTTATTTGAGACAGAGAGCATGAGAGGGAGGAGGGTCAGAGGGAGAAGCAGACCCCCCGCCGAGCAGGGAGCCCGATGCGGGACTCGATCCTGGGACTCCAGGATCATGACCTGAGCCGAAAGCAGTCGCTTAACCAACTGAGCCACCCAGGCGCCCTATTTTTAAAGATTTTATTTATTTATTTGAGAGAGAGAGAATGAGAGAGAGCACATGAGAGGGGGAGGGTCAGAGGGAGAAGGAGACTCCCCGCTGAGCAGGGAGCCCGATGCGGGACTCGATCCCGGGACTCCAGGATCATGACCTGAGCCGAAGGCAGTCGCTTAACCAACTGAGCCACCCAGGCGCCCCCTGAGCAAGTTACTTTTGAACTACAATCCCCACACTTGTAAAGTGGCATTAAAACTACTTTTATCATGGGTTCTTAGAACTAAGCGGGTTGTTTAAGAGTACACTTAACGGTGGTGAGCATTGAGTAATGTGTAGAACTGTTGAATCACTCTATGGTACGTCTGAAACTAATACAACACTGTATGTTAACTACACTGGAATTTTTAAAAATAAATAATTTTTACAAAAAAAAATTACGCAGGTTGTTTGTATAAAGTTTCCGGGCACTCAAATGAGCTCAGCCAGCACCAAACACCGCTGGAGACAAGGCTCCTGGCCTAGAGGATCTCCTCTTCTACTGGGGGAGGCAACAAGTAAACCCAAGCACAGTAGTCAGTGTTCTGGAAGAGGTGACCTCTGGTGCTGCAAAGCAGAGAACACTGAAGGGAGTGTTCAGGGAAGGCCTCTTGGAGGAGGTGCCTCCTTTCTGAGGATGTGTGGAAGCTGCTCAGATGGCAGGAGGGAGCTGCTTGTGCGAAAGTTTGAGAACTATAAGAAAATATGGCAAAACTAAAGTGCAGGACTAGAACTTAGGGTTTAAAGAAGTGAGAGCTGAGACTGGAAACCTGGTGGGGGCCACAAAGGGAGGGGCTTTGTTTGTCCTATCAAATGGTTGGATGTTTATCCCGAAGGTTGTGGGAGACACTTAAGGATGATGACATGGGCTTTTGATTTAGAAGCTTGCCCTGACCTAAATATGGAAGGCAGTTGATTGGGAGGAGGGTGAATTGTAATCCGAGAGCCCAAATTAAGGTATAGGAAGGGAGGACTGGATTTCAGAGATCAAAGAGACAATGGATGGGGCCTGGTGACCAGTTAGCAGAGGGGGGAGCATAAGATTGGGTGACAGTTTATAGCAGCACCTTTCTGTGAGGCACAGAGCGCAGTAGGAGGGGATTGGGGTTGGGGAGAGAATCTCACTTCATTCTTAATGCTTTAAGAGGGCCCTGTGGGGCATCCAAACATGTCTGCTAGACATTTCGGGGCTGCAGGTGCAGATCTGGGCTTTATGGGGGAATGTTTGAAGGTATGGGAGAAACTGAGGTAACCCACAAAGAAGATCTAGAAAATACTAAGCCTGAGAGATGTTTTTTGAAATGGACCCACTTGAGTATGTTTATAAGCTGAGACAGAGTAGCCAGCACACAAGGAGGATGTGAAGATCCGGGAGAGGAAATGACTACTGATTTTTTTTTTTTAAAAACCTGAACACTTGTCATGTGCCTGGCCCTTTTCTAGGTTCTAGGTTCTAGATTTTACGTTATCTGTTATCTCTTCTGTAAGGACATTCCAGTTTATCCCCTGGTGAAGAGAAGTCACACTATTCTCTACATCTCATGCAGGTGTAGGAACTGTTCCATACCTCTGAAGGGATTTGATTTATCCAAAGTAATAACTTAGAAATCAGAAGCAATTACAGTGGGGAGAGACCTCAAAGTCAAGGCCACTGTACTTAATCTTGCCTAATATTTCACATTGAATGTAAGAAAAATGTATCATAGAGACCACTCTTCAGAATTCCTTTACTGAACCTTTGTTTTCTCTTGCATCCAGTGGGTCCAGGCTGTAGATTTCAACGGTTTGCTTCTTTATCCTCACCAGCTTTTCTTTCTTTCTTTCTTTCTTCTTTCTTTCTTTCTTTCTTTCTTTCTTTCTTTCTTTCTTTCTTTCTTTCTTTCTTTCTTCTTTCTTTCTTTTTCTTTTCTTCCTTCCTTCCTTCCTTCCTTCCTTCCTTCCTTCCTTCCCTGCCCCTGCCCCTTCCCTCCTTCCTTCCTTCTTTCCTTTCTTTTTCTTTCTTTGGATTTTATTTATTTTAGAGATAGAGCATGAGCAGAGGGAGGGGCAGAGGAAGAGAAAGAATCTCAAGCGACTCTGCACTGAGCTCGACACAGGGCTCAAGCTCAGGACCCTGAGATCAGGACCTGAGCCAAAATCAAGAGTCCATCGCTTAACCAGCTGCACCACCCAGGCGCTCCACCTCGCCAGCTTCTAGCTGGTGTTGCTGCCTCTGAGCTCAGTTTCCCTCAGTTCATCTGCTTACTGGGCTTCGGTGGTCTTTTTTATTATTATTATTTATTTGAGAGAGAGAGAGCACAGGGGTAGTAGCAGAGGGAGAGGGACAGGCAGACTCCACGCTGAGCATGGAGCCCAACATGGGGCTCCATCCCAGGACCCTGAGATCCTGACCTGAGCCAAAACCAAGAATCAACGCTTTAACCGACTGAGCCAGCCAGGCGCCCCTCCAGTAATCTTCTAAAATGAAAATACATGCTTAAAATAAGGCTTGTAATGGCTCGCCAGCACAGGATTATTGTGTATTGGCTGCACAGTTTGTGTTCTGCATGGAAGCGTGAAATCTGAGCTGTGCTCTGCCAAGCCCCAAGGGGCTAATTGGCCCTGAGGAAGAGGTGTTTTTTCCAATCTGTCTGATTTAGGTACCTTTTTCTAACCTGCAGAGGCACCCTTACTGTGCCAGTGGTAGCCCCTGTCCTCATCAGCTTTGGGGTCAAAGACATAGGCTTTTTATCCGAGGCTTGCTCTGGCCAACCTCTGTATTGTCCCCTCCCCCCGGACCCTAGCCTTTAGTCGTCCCCATCTGCAGTATTTTCCGTGGCCAGCAGGTGTCAGGCTTGGATGTCTTTGCACACAGGTCTCTGCAGTTAAGCACCTCCCACTCAGACTATGTGGTCATTCTCTTTCTAGATTCAACTTCAGGGTTATCTTGAAGCCATTACTTAGATATAACGTTGTGCTTTCATAGGAACCTCTATGCACATAGTTTATATTTCTGTATCTCATGTGGTTGACGTTTTGAGCTTACATGACGTTTTGAGCTTACATGTAAAGAGGGTTTTAAGGGGCGCCTGGGTGGCTCAGATGGTTAAGTGTCTGCCTTTGGCTCAGGTTGTGATCCCAGGGTTCTGCGATCGAGCCCCGCATCGGGCTCCCTGCTTGGCAGGGAGCCTGCTTCCCCTTCTCCTTCTGCTGCTCCCCCTGCTTGTGCTCTCTCGCTCTCTCTGTCAAATAAATAAATAAAATCTTTAAAAAAAAAAAGTAAAGAAGAATTTAAGGATGGGTCATCTCTGCCTTAGCACAGAGCAGATGCTTTCTCATGGTGATAATACATATTTTACAATAATTTTGCTTTAGGTTCTGACAAAAGTAAAGTTTGCAGAAGTCGTGTTCCTGCGATAAGAAACAAAGATGTGACCTTCCAGTTATGTAAAGCTCTCAAATGCTGTTTAAGTGTATCAAGTGCTCTAAAGAACCTCGAGCTAAATGGACTAGTGCTGAGAGAGAGAGATTTAACTATTTTGACAAAGGTAAGGCTTCTCCAATGTGTCCTGCAAACATTGGATATTTGCTTTTGGGGGAAACTAAACCCATAAAAATTTTAACTTTTTCTCCCCATTAAAGGGATTGAATAAATCCACCTCTCTGGTGCACCTGTCTCTTGCAAATTGCCCAATTGGAGATGGAGGTTTGGAAAGTAAGTTTCAGTCTTGTTTACGTCTCCTCCCACCAGACTGATCTCACTCTCCCTGCATGCATGTTAATTGCTGCCTGTACCTTTTCTACTTGGATTGTCTCCTGTGCCTGCTCAAACCTTGGTCTCTTCTCACCTGTACACTGAAAGTTTGTCATGCTGGGTACTCTCCAAACCAGTTCCACTAAGATTATGTTAAGCCACACAAATATATACTATATTGTATTTTCTCTTTTTTTATTTTGTTCATCTTTTTCTTATCAAGGAATAATTATGGGAAGGGAAATAGCAAAATCTAAAGACAAAAAAATCATTATCCTTAAAGAGTTGAAACATCTATAGGCAGTCATAATTACATAATGCACTGTGTTATGTACTAAAATAGGAAATCTGCAAAGTGCTATGGGAGCATATAAAAGGCCAGCAAATTCAGTGGTGTTAGTGGGGGCGTATCATGGAGGTAATCACAGAGAAAGTGATTGTTGATTGGGGTCCTGAAGAATTAGTGTGTTCACTGTGTCCACTAGCGGTCTGGGGTGGTAAGGAAGGCTGCATTTTAATTTGAGGGAACTAAGAGTTTGACATGTTCTGTCTTCTATTGCTATAGTATATTGCATAGCACCTAATAAAACTCTGGGTTTATAGTTCACATTTAAATTAACTGATAACTGAGTTTGGGTTATATCATTGGAAGTGAAAATAGGAAGAGTTTTAGGCTTTTTAGGTTTCTCTTTTTCTTATGTCTCAAAAGGTATATAGTACTTTACTGCCTAGTTGGGAATAAAGTTTGCCAGGTTCGGAGTATTCAATTTTAGCATCTAAATAGAATTAAACTGTTGCTGTAAACTGGAATAACCAATTTATTACTGACATATTTTAGAGTGCACCAATCCATCAGTTGCCTGGGAAGATTGTAGGTAGTGATTTAAAGACTACAGCTATAAACCTCCAGTAGACTCAGGAAAAGCAAATAAGTCAAGATTGACCAGACTGTATGGGCTCTTCATCTTATTGTGTGTGTGGTTTTTTTTTTTTTCCTTTTAGTTATTTGTCAAGGTATAAAGAACTCTATCACTCTTAAGACAGTAAACTTCACGGGGTGTAATCTGACATGGCAGGGAGCAGATCACATGGCCAAGATCTTAAAGGTGATTTTATGTTTAAACTTTCGTGAAAACATATTCTGTGACTGAAGCACATTAATATTTTGATACAAGATGGCAGATCTTTTTTGTCTTTTGATACATGTGATTGCAGTTTTAGTTTTGTTGAAAGAATATGACCAGTTTCCAGTTTAGGGTTCTACCATTTAGGAAAGGTAGTCCGTTTAATCCTAGGAATAAGAGATCTAATGTATAATACATTATAAATAATACTTTCATGTATTTTTAGTTCTTGAAAACAGCCCGTCACCTGGTGTTACAGTTTTTTTTAAATGTAGCCACGCCCATTTGCTTGCTTAGTGACTGGCTGTTTTCGTCCTACACCAGTGGAGTTAAGTAGTTGCAACAGAAACGTTATGGCCCACAAAGCTGAAAAATTTACTTTTGGGCCTGTACAGAGCAAGTCCATTGACCCCAGATATAGAAGACAGTCAAGAGCATGGATTCTGAAGCCAAATAACCTAGTTTCAAATTCCAGCTCACCAATTTCATAGCTTATGACCGTGGACACATTACTTAGCCTCTGTGCTTTATTATGAGGATTAAATGAACTAGTTTGTATAAAATAGTGCCTGGCACATAAGCACCGTGGAAGTGTTTTGCTGGGATTTCCACTTGTTGCTTTTATAAGTTATTGTTAACAAAAAAAGAGCACCAATGATTTTCCATTTAGACTGGCATAGGAACTTTGAGTCTTTCGTTGCTCGAGCATGAATAAGATTTCTTTCTTTTAAAGTCAGTGTTTCCTGTTACCAAAGTTTGTCTTACGAACATAGAGAAGTGAATATGTCTTTATGACTCTATCTGTGGTTAAAAATCAAACCATCAAGTTCCTGAGGCAGGTCAAACTGCCTTGGCATACTGCAGGTCTCTAAAGTTGGTGTGCGTACTCTAAAGTAGTGAGATCCATTGGGTTGGGGGAAGAAAATATTAGAACCTCTATATTTATTTTCGTAGCATTTAAAAAATAACTGTGTAGTTTATAATGTAGGTGAAGTATATGTGCAGAACTGAATGGATAACTTCGTGTATATAATTTATCAGTAAATAAGATACACGTTACAGAAGTTTACTTGCCGGATGCCCAAGCAAGTGTTCAGAAACCACTGGAGGACAGAATGATAGAACTTAGAGCCTCAGCAATAACAGAATTTAGAACCAGTTCCCTGACTTGGCAGATAAGGAAAATAAAATTTATAGAATGTAATTCATTGTCAAAGTATGTGTAACTAATCAACCACAGGTCACCCAGTGGCTAGAATCTAATCACTGGCAAATTAGAATCGGGGTCTCTGAGACTCTTGAGCTAGAATCTACTGCTCAGTCTCTCGGGTTGGTATGTGCGTGTAAATCTCTGACATGATAAGCCATCCCCAGTACGCATACCCTGCCACCTTATCCAAATGTCCTAATTTCATCCTGTTAAATATTTGAAGTATCAGACCATGCGAAGGCATGAAGAAATCTGGGCTGAGAGTCTTCGTTACAGGAGGCCTGATCTGGACTGTATGGCTGGTTTGAGGCGCATCACTTTGAACTGCAACACGCTCATTGGTGACCTGGGCGCAAGTGCTTTTGCAGAATCTCTCAGTGAGGATTTATGGCTTAGAGGTAAATTCTAAAATGGAAAATACTGAATTTTTAAATGTTAAATATGCTTAGCTTTTGGCTTGATACCACTGTCATGGAATTTTTTTTTTAAGCCTTATTTTTTCCGATACCTTTTATTGTGCTTTTAAGCTTCTCTAAGAGTTTTATATATTCTTTATAGAAAATATAGGTTAACTAAACAAAATTACCCATAATCTTAATACCCATTTTGGTGTACTTTCAGTGTTTTATTTTTCTATAGATGTGTTTGTACACTTCAGAGACTAAAAAAGTGGATTCATGGTTCAATTACTATTTCATGCTCTTTTACTTAATGATGCATCATGTGGTATCCATTATATTGATGTGCAATAGTTTAATCATTCTTTGAAATTAGACACTTTGTACTTTTCTCTGTCAGGAACAATGTATAGTGAACACATCTCTGTGACCGTTGCATTAGTTCTATAGATTAAGTTACTAAAATGGAAGGACCTTATAATATGACATATTTTTAAGACTTTCATTGCATGTTAGTGAATTACCATCCAGAAATCCTGTGCCAATTTATAATCCACCTTAACAGTGCATGTGAGGCCTCTCCCCTCACAAACACTGGCTTGTGTCACTTTTAAAAACCTGTAACACTACAAAAGTGAGTGACCCTCCCTTTTTTATGAAGTGGGATTACTCCAAACTTTAAAACTTTTTTCATTTATTTATTTTTTTTTTTTAAGATTTTATTTATTTATTTGAGAGAAAGAGAGAGAGACAGAGAAACAGCATGAGAGGGGAGAGGGTCAGAGGGAGAAGCAGGCTCCCCGCCGAGCCGGGAGCCCCATGTGGGACTCGATCCCGGGACTCCAGGATCATGACCTGAGCCGAAGGCAGTTGCTTAACCAACTGAGCCACCCAGGCGCCCAAAACTTTTTTCATTTAATATAGTATGAGTATCTTAAGAAGTCAGTACATTTACATCTCCCACATCATTTTTTGGTGACTGTGCCATTATATGAATGTGCCATAGTACACTTAAGCTTATTCATTCTTGCTAGATAAATGAGCTGTTTGCAGGTTTTCACTGTTAAAAACAGTACTCTGATACACATCCTTGCCTACGTCCTGTTTCCTTTGGTTAAATTCTTAGAGAGTTGCTAGGTCAAAATGGCATGCACATTTTCAAGGTTTTTGTTACATGATCTTGACCTAATCTGATGGAACAATCTCATTTTATTGTTTTAATTTGTATTCAGTTCACATACTAGTGACATGTAGTGGCTATTTTTATTTATTTGGCTAGTTGGTTAATTATATCCTTTGTCCATTCTGTGGTAAGAGTTTATAAGGATCTCATCGTATTGTTTCCATATATCTGGCTTATTTCTATGTGTCATGGGGTTTTAAAAGACCCCAGTTACTTTAATGTAATGGTTTACACAACACTTTTAAAAAAGGGCTAATATGATGGTTTCCTCTTATGCAATGTTTTTTATACTTGTGCTTTTGTGATCCCTGGTTTAAACATTGTTCAGCCTCAGAACTAGTATTGATGATCATTTGTTCTGTTCTTTGACCTTTTAAAGAGTGTTCTTGACTATCATTCTTTCATGATAAGTTCTTAGCATATGTTCCCTATTCATACATTCTTTGGATTTGTTATTATTTCCATCCTCTTAAATGTCTGTCTTTGTCTTTTTTTCTTGTAAAACTAACAATTATTGCATATCTGCCATTTTGCTTTTTCCTTTTAACTAGTTTTAAGAGTGATTTAGAACTCGAGAGCATATCAAAAGAATGCAGCGCAGGTTCTGAGTGCCACCCAGCTTTTGCCTGTGAGGACTACACACCACTAGCATCCTTGCTGATTATGAGCCGAGACTCCTTTTGTGATGTTTTTCACTCATAGACTATCTAGAGTTATTCTTCACCTCTGTAATTGTAAAATATGTTGGGTGATTTATTGGTACTAAGAGCAGGATAATCATGGCCCATCCAAGAATTTTTTATTGTATGTGTTGTGTATACTTTTCTGTTTTTTCTTTTTTCAATACCCAAGATTAAAAACCTGCCATGACTTCTTGTACAGAAATCTTACATGCATGAATACATGAGAGTTGTCTATATGTTAAATCTGTGTAGAGTTGGCAAGTGACCTTTTGTCTTTCATCGAAAGCACTTGACCTGCAGCAGTGTGGCCTCACCAATGAAGGAGCAAAGGCTTTACTAAAGGCCCTCGAAACCAACAGAACTCTGGTCATTCTGGATGTAAGAAAAAATCCACTCGTTGGTACGTCACACCTTTTTTAATGATTAACGAATGGCAAAACAGAATTTGTTCGTGTGTTGACAGTTTTTAAAACCTAATGTGTTTGCTTTCCTAATGCTATACTTTTCTAATCTTGTACTTACCTTGTGTTTTTAGCAGATAATTTACTACTTAACATGAGTTATACTTGTAAATTGCTCTTGGCTGCCACTCGAATAAGATGAACTTAGATAATGAGCTAGCTTCCACCAAGAGAATTATTGCCTTCCTGTGGAACCTCTGCATTCCTGGAAAGAGCATTTCATTCATTTCTCAGTTTAGCAAGTAATTTTTGAATCCTTTCTGTGTTCCAGACACAGATTTTAGGCACTAGGAGTGTAGTAGTGAAACGGATGGGCCAAAGTCTTACCCTCGTTGAGCTTACGTTCTAGTGGAGGAGTTCAGATAGAAATGAGTGAGCAGATACGTGAAGTAATTTTAGATAGCAGGAAGTACAAAAACACCTTAAGATAAAGACCCTGAAGGGGGTAATAGGGCTGTATTAGATTTGTCAAGGGACAGCTTCACTGGAGAAACGACTTTTGAGGGGAAAGCTAAATGAAGAGAGTGGCAGGCCGTGGGAGACCTGGAGGCGGCAGCTTCCAGCACCAGGAGGCAATTCATACACAGGCACGGAGGTGACAGGGTGGATAGAGTGTTTAAGGAAAGGACGGAGGCCACCATGGCCGGAGCACCGAGTGAGGGAGAGCGTGGGATGCGGTGAGGTCACAGAGCTGGCCATGGGCATGATTTTACCAGAGTAAGGACACGGATTATTCTAAGTGAGTGGAGCATTTTGAACTAAAAAAGGCTTGATCTGAATAGTGTTTCAATAAGATGACTGGTGTAGAGAATAGACCTGGGGATGGGGGAGAGATAAAGAAGGAAAATGAGGAGACCAGTCTGGAGACTGTGACTCCCCTCAGGAGTCCAAATACAGGCTGTTAATGGCTTACCTTAGGGTGGAAGGTTGGAGCTGATAAAGTGGTTGAATTCAGGTTGTGTTTTGAGGGGGTAGCTAATAAGACTTACAGATAGATCAGGTGTGGGGTATGAAGGAAATAGTAATAAAGAAGCAAGTGCTGGGGGCATCTAGATGACTCAGTCGTTAAGCGTCTGCCTTTGGCTCAGGTCATGGTCCCAGGGTCCTGGGATCGAGCCCCGCATCGGGCTCCCTCCTCCGCGGGAAGCCTGCTTCTCCCTCTCCCACTCCCCCTGCTTGTGTTCCCTCTCTCACTGTGTCTCTCTCTGTCAAATAAATTAAATCTTAAAAAAAAAAAGAAGAAGAAGAAGAAGCAAGTGCTGGATGATGATGCGTGCAACTGGTTGGTACCACTCACTGAGAAAGGGGCGCTGAGGAGAGGAGCGGCTTTGAGAGAATGTCAGGACTTTGGTTTAATGGATCAGGTGCCCTTTCAGTATCTAAGCAGCTGGACAGTCCCAGACTTTTGCTTTCTATCCAAAGGTATCCAAAGTCATGTTAGACACAAAGTGTTGAGAAATGATCTTTGCTACTGCAAAAAGAGTAGTCATTGTGGGCAATATGGGAGGGGGCATACTTTCATCTTAGGTTTTTGAGGAAGAAATTAGAATTCTAAAAAGGGGGAAATAGGTATATAATTACATAATGTGCGTTTTATATTTAATTTTATGTGAAAAGTTGGTGTTTGCTTTTAAATGGGAATAACCACTCATTGGGAAGCAATTACTATAATTTCAGTTTATTTTACTTTAGATCATTCTGTGATGAAAGCAGTTATCAAAAAAGTTCTCCAGAATGGAAGGAGCGCCAAGTCAGAGGTAACATGTTGTAGTTCTTTAGGAAGAATTTTTCTTTAACTGCATGTTTTTCTCCTCAATAAAACCATCAAGGCATTTTTCTGCCATCTTAAATCAATTAAGTCAAATCAAATGGCTTTTCTGTTTTGAAAACATTGTGTGATTCTTTAATTTGGGGTCCCAGAAATGCAGATTGCAAACCTTTTGTTAACTCAAAATAGCTTAATTTCCAATTGAGATCAAACCCTCATAAATTACCTGTAACTGATATGAGTATTTATTATTTCTCTTCCAGTACCAGTGGATAACTTCTCCATCAGTGAAGGAACCATTCAAAACTGCTAGACAGAAAAAGAGAACTATAATCCTGGGAAATGGTCGGAAAGGGAAAGCTACTATTAGAATTGGTAACTTTTTCTCCTGGCTTTTTAATGCTGCTAGAGCTTATGCCCCGTATGTGTTCCAATGGCTAAAATTGGAATCTCTTCCCATCATATGATAGTGATGGTAACAACCAGTATTAACCACATGCATATCAGAAAGACTGTGAATGTTCTGATACAGATTATAAGAATTTATGAAATATAAAAATAATTTAAAGAAGAGATGCTAATATTTCCATTTTTTTTTAAATTAACCAACTATGTTTTCATAAAAAGTTCATTATTTTGAATATATTCCTTGGTTAAGATTTTCATTTTCTCTTCCTGTGGTCTATTTTTTTTTTTTTTTTGACAGAGAGCAAGAGAGGGAACACAAGCAGGGGGAATGGGAGAGGGAGAAGCAGGCTTCCCGCCGAGCAGGGAGCCCGATGCGGGGCTCGATCCCAGGACTCTGGGATCATGACCTGAGCCGAAGGCAGACGCTTGACGACTGAGCCACCCAGGCGCCCATCTTCCTGTGGTCTATTAACATAGACAACATAGGCACACAGGTGACAGGGTGGATGGAATATTGACGTAATTCCACATAACTTGAATATAATTTGCCATTTTTCTTCTTTCACTTCATTTTAGATTAAATTAAAATTCTATATGATTTCATAGTTATACTTTTTTATGAATTCAGAAAGTTTCATTGAGTTGATTGGTCTTTTTTTTAAATTAATGAAAGATTTGGGGTGCCTGGCTGGCTCAGTCGGTAGAGCACATGACTCTCGATCTTGGGTTCATGGGTTCGAGCCCCACGTCGGGCATGGAGCGTACTTTAAATAAATAATAAATTAGTAAAAAATTCAGAATAACCTAAGTATTATATAATTTTTTAATAGTATTGTAAACATTTTCATAAATACTACTTTTTTTTTTTTTTTTTAACTATTAAAAGGTATGTTTTTGATTCTCCATTAATCTACTTGTTTGGTCAACAAAATATTAAGTAGCAGTTAAGAGGGTCTGTTAAATCAAAAGAAAGCTTAACAATTTTTCTACCAATTTTTATTTTAAAACTGATATTTTAGTAGTCAAATAGTATATACAAAGAAGCTGAGATTTGTGATGTCTCACTGATTGTAGATTATTACTAAAAGTTTACATCATGTGTAAAACATTCTTAAAAGTGTCTAAGTTGGTATTTTGATATAATATTAGAAATAGAAATGTATATAGGTAAAATATATATGTGTGTTATATTAGGATTTCTGTAATTTTAGTATCTGATGGTATATAATAGGACTTCGTGGAATGAAAATAAAAAATTAAAAATCTTTTTTTTTCTTAGCATGATTAAACAAAGTGACTGAAATGTACAAGCTCACTGAGCTATTTTAAGAGTAATTTTATTTCTTGGGCTTTTTTTTGTATTTGCCTCAGTTATGTGGAGACATAGAGGTAAGCCACATCAGTGTCTGGCTATATAGTTAGATCCAGGTGAGTATAGAGGTTACATAATTGTGTGAGTTGTCACATTCACATTGTAATCATGTGTGCAGAAAGAAGATAGGAACTCGAATGGGGATTTTATCTCCTTACAAGATAAGTGTGAATTCTTTTGGATTTAATTACAAATGGCATATTTGCATTAGTTTCTGAAAGTCAGGGGAGAGGTGTACATGTACAAACCACGTATATATGAACATTTTTTTCCTTGAGAGTAATTAAGTTGAAAAACAAAAAAGAGCACAAGATGAATGGAACTTCTATATATTTTAAGAGGCATATAAATTTATCCAGAGAAATCACACAGGTCATGTGGTGATTATCAATAAGCTACATTATATGAAATATTTGTCCTCTATTGCCACATATGTTTTATTTCTCTTGCTATCCTAATGCTGCTAAAGTAGTATAGTAAAATAGATCTGAAGAATAAATATAACAAACCTATATTACTTGTTTTGAGTAACTGTAAAAAAATTAAATGTCAATTTTAATATATGGTTTATTCTAAATATATTAGCACGTAGGTCTAGTTTTTGTTACTATTTCATATAAGGATATTGATTTTTTAGTACTGAAATGTAGGCCAAGTCTCCATATCTTGCTCTTTATCCATTGGGTCTTATTTCTTCTTTGTTTTCTTTTCTTTTTTTTTTTTTTTAAGATTTTATTTTTCAACAGAGAGAGACGACAGCGAGAGAGGGAACACAAGTAGGGAGAGTGGGTGAGGGAGAAGCAGGCTTCCCGCGGAGCAGGGAGCCCGATGCGGGGCTTGATCCCAGGACCCTGGGATCATGACCTGCGCCGAAGGCAGACGCTTAACGACTGAGCCACCCAGGCGCCCCTCTTTTTTGTGTTCTATATGAAATCAAATGAGCAATGAAGGTTGACAGACTTACGGAGGGTAACATTGACTTACCTGCCACTTAGCAGCTTTCAGTCCTATTCCTTTGATTGTTTTCACATGGAAAATTTAATCTTAAATTAAAATTTTGGTCTAATTCAGATTCTCTTTGGCAGGAATCAGGGATGTATCAGTGTTTATCTTTGAGATTCAGAAATACCACAGATACTCTGAGATTCAATAAACTGGATGTTTCTGCATGATACATAAGATGTATCGTGCATGTTTCATTCTTTGGGTTATATTTTTTATTTCTGGATGTTTTGTGCATCTCATATACTTGTATTTTAGTTAAAATGATAACTTGTTACTCTAGAAGAACTTAGATTTGTAAACATTGCTAGTCCATGTCAAAGCATTTTTACAGAACGATCTTGTTATTAATGGCCTCGCATCTTTGGCAGGTGCCTGTTTTATAAAGTGCGAACATGTGATAATTGCTGTGTCACCATTTAGTGCATCTTGATTTTGTCCTTTAATGCTTTCGCAAACATAGGATTGGCCACAAAGAAACCTGTAAGTAATGGAAGGAAACACCCCCTTGGTAAAGAATATTCTCCTGAGCCTCTACCTCCTGGCGTCTCTGGTTTCCTGCCGTGGCGCACAGCGGAACGTGCAAAAAGGACCAGGTATTTATTCCGTCTTGAGTCGTTTAGAAATTTTCATTTTGGAGCTTCAGTTGTGCGGGAGGTCTCTAATGGTTTCTCTAGAGAAAAAAATGATAACTCACACGTGGCTTCTGCCTAATGGGTCCTTGAAAGAAGAAAAAAAATATAGTTATAATTGGGAGTTGCAAATTATTTCTTATGTGTCCCAACAAACATTCTCTCCACCGGTACAGGTGAGTAAAGGTTTCATTAAAGGCGGGTGTAATTGAGCTGGGCCCTACAGTGCAGGAGGAGGAACTTGGACATGTAAGGAATGGGGAAAAAAGACATTTTCGGCCTGGGGGATAGTTTAGTACAGAATGGATGGGGAAGTAGGGATTAGACTTAATCTAACTCAGTCAACCGGCTTAACTCATTTTAGTGAATCAGATTTAGTAAATCAAATTAGATTTAACTAGTTTTAGCTGATTACTTACCCAGGGGATAACAGTGCATAGCGATTTTTATACTAGAAGTATAAAAGTCTCTTTAAATGGTCGAACTATAATTTTAGGCCTGCTGAGTGAATTAGTTTGCTGTAGATTATTTTCAGGTAATTTACAGGGTAGTATTCAAGAAATTGGGGATTAACAATTGCTTAAGAAAACAAAGAATTGATTTTAAATAAGACTTGAGGTAGGTACTATGTAAAATAATTGTTCACTTGCTCACATTGAATTGTTGAATATAATCTCCATTGCAAATGGTGATGTGAATTATTATTGCATAAACTCTAGTTCCCAGGCCCCGGTCTTTACACTTCAGTTTTATGACTTTGTGATTTCATATCTTCTTTTTATGATAACTGTTAATATCGAGACCATTCTGACCACAAGGAGTTGTCAATTGGAGAATGATTATTAGTCAAGGAAGTTAGATTGGAAGTCTAAACCGTCCTGAACGTAGAAAGTGAAGACACCCCTCAGCAGTTCAGAGAGTTGTGACAAGCCAGTCTGCTAAATTCTGTTCAATTTTCTGCCAGGTCCTTATTTTGAGCTTATTTTGCTTATACGTAATTCATATGTATTATTAATAGTATTATTGTACATAATTCTAGCAAATTCTAGCAAACTGGCATTAACTGGTAATATTCACATCAATGTTTAACTTAATTTGTTGGTATCTCTTTAGGGGTTTTCCATTAATCAAAACTCATGATGTATATAATCATTTGCAGGTATGTAGTTCTCATATTTACAATATATAGAAGGTTAAGTGGGAAAGGTGGGAGGGCGTTCTCTTTGCATTTCAAACTAAACAGAGCCTTACAGAAAACATTTCCCTCTCTGAAATAAATCCATTGGCAACTTGTCAGGTTGCTCTCCCAATGACGGTATGTAGTTGTGTGAATATGACACACACTGGGGATCTTGTGGTTCCATCCGTAAACAGGGAAGCCATTTCTCCAGTCCACAAGTCACCTGTTAACCCAGTGAAAGGAATTTGACTGCCAACTCATGGAGCTACCATTCTCAAGAATGTCTTTTATGTTTTCGAGAAATGTCATTTGAGAGCTATATGTATAAGTATGTGTATAAGTTCCAGATCCTAGAGGCAAAATAAAGAAGCCAGTCCCAGAGCGTCTGCTCTCTCAGAGCACTTCTTCCGCTCTCACCAAGGCCACACACATTCCCTGTCCTACCAGCCAATTCCGTCAGAGTGTCAGGTTCTCCTTCCCCCTTGTCCTGGGGAACTACATAGCAGCTCTGAGTAAGGTAACACTACTGGATTGAGAGAAGAGCACCCCGGGTGTGAGCCCTGCCCACTGCATGTCCAGAAGAAGGGGTGCACACCTCATTCTACCATTGGGACTTTCCTGTACTGTGGGATTTGTTGCCCGTGGTTAAAATGACACCCCAGTGACTTGTCTTCTGTGCAGTTATGTAATCCCAGCACTCCTCTTTTTGATCTGTAGACTTTTTATGGGGTTATGATCAGGTCAGTTTTCAAATGTTTGGGAACAGCATACTGAACTGCATTCCAGTGGCAGTGAATTGACAGGAGAACTGTATTACCATTACAGTAGTTCTGCTTTAAGGTGGCTAAAGGATGGTAAGATGAGGTTTTTGATGGGTCCATTTTAGTTGTGCATGTGTAAGTGATTTTTTTAATTTTCATGTTTTTTTTTTCACTAGATCTGTTGACTTTCTAATTATTCTTCTAATTCTTCTTATCAGTCCCCTACTGATGGATTTTTTCCTCCAAAAACTACATTTTCTTCCAGACTTTTTGTACCTAACAGTGGAGAGTAAATGTCTCATCTGCAGTAAAAAGTTGGTCTGAGAAAAATGTTTACCCTGGCTCCTCAGTTGGCTTATATGAAAGAAAGTTAATAAAATAATATGGAGGATTCCAAATATTAATTTTTTTTTTTTAATTTATTTGACAGAGACAGAGATAGCAAGAGCAGGAACACAAGCAGTGGGAGGGGAAGGGGGAGAAGCAGGCCTCCCCCCGAGGAGGGAGCCCGATGTGGGACTCGATCCCAGGACCCTGGGATCATGACCTGAGCCGAAGGCAGACGCTTAACGACTGAGCCACCCAGGCGCCCTCAAATATTAATCTTAACAGAATTCTATACAGTGACAGCAAAAATAAATCATTGTCATTTTACTTTGTCATTGCTTGTTTTAGACTAAGCAGTGGAAGACATTTATACATAATGACTTGATACCTCAGGTCAGTTTTGTTAAATGTCCTGTAATATTTGTTATCTGGTTTTTGTTATCTCTTCTACAACCTTGACTTCTTTCTCTAAGCAATCAGATTTTCCTGTGACTGTGACAGTAGAGAGTCCTTCCTCCTCAGAAATTGAAGAGGTCGACGATTCATCCGAAAGTGTTCAAGAAGAGCCTGAGAAAACCAGTTTAAAACAAGAAGCATTAGAGGTATAAAGTTACCACTTTAAGATCCAGAGATTATTTTTTAAACCGTAGTGGTTACTGGGCAGGGGGAAGCCTGATTAGGGCACTGGATGAGCTTGTACATGGCTTCTGTCTTCCCCTCAACGATTTCTTGGCTTAAACCAAGGTGGAAGGTAGACGTTTGAATTCTGAGAAATAAAAATCAAAACATGTCATCAGTAATATATTTTCCTTTCCTAACCGACTGAGCCACCCAGGGGCCCCTTTTACTATTTGATTTTTTAAAAAAGAAAGCCAGATTTTTATTTTCCCAATTAAAATTAATGATAATAACATAGAGAAATTTTAAGATAAGTACTTGGAAAATTACAAAATGTTAGAGTGGGATGAATCTGTAATTGATGTAGAATTACCCTTTTCATTTTCTAAATGAGCACCTACAATTTGTAGCACTTAAAATGCTTTGTTACTAAGCTGCAGAGTAAAGACAAGACCCCAGACCGTCTAATTTGCGTTCATGGTCATTTTATTTTTTTTTTAAAGATTTTATTTATTTATTTGACAGAGAGAGACACAGCGAGAGAGGGGACACAAGTAGGGGGAGAGGGAGAGGGAGAAGAGGCTTCCCCCTGAGCAGGGAGCCCGATGCGGGGCTCGATCCCAGGACCCCAGGATCATGACCTGAGCCGAAGGCAGACGCTCAGTGACTGAGCCACCCAGGCGCCTCTCATGGTCGTTTTAGATTTCCTGCACTGAGACACTAGGGAGCTTGTACTTCTAAAAGCAACAGTAAGGCACTGGGGAAGGCCAAGATGGTCAGGAACTGTAACTAGGGACTACCTGATTCACGATGTGCTGAGGACCCTCTCGGCTCTTCTCCACTTTGATAAGACATTAAAGTGCTGGTATCAAATTTTTAAGAATATATCCACAACAATCAAGAGAAGGGATTTCAACATTTTTTTCAGAGACAGAAGACAAGTGGAAGGGTGTGAAGCTGTGAACAGAGGAACAGTACCACCTAGAATTTGCACAGGGACTGGCTGCAGCTGAGGGAATCTAATCCCCCACGGCAGAAACAGCTCCATCTTCAGATGTGCGTGACAGAGAGAGGGTGGAGTTGGTTAAAAATGTGACTGAAATAGGGAGAGCGTGTGGAAGGTTTATATTTGGGAGAGCTGACTCCCATCCCTACCCTCATTCTCCTGAAATGAGATAATTTGACTTTGGGAGAAACTAAATTCTACTCCTGAAACCACTATTACACTAGATGTTAACTAACCAGAATTTAAATAAAAATTTGGAGAAAAAAAGACTGGGGAGAATTAGGGCACCTAGTGGAGTTTTGCACCCTAGAAAAGAGTATTTGGGGGTTCCTTATTACAACTGACTACCCACCTCTTCACACATAAGAGAAGCCAGTCAATCATGAGCTTCCAGGGAGCTTTCTGCTCCCGTTCCTAAGTAGAAAATAACCATGGTTCGCCTGAGAGTTAGTAAAGCATACAACATGATGGGAAAAAAAAAAAAAAGAGTAAAAACGGATACCTGGTAGGACCAGGGACTATTTGCTGTTACTGTCTCTCAACAGAAAACAGAACAAAATGTAAATATCAGCTTTGATAAAGGTAGGTTTGGAAGGTAAATAGGAGGTGGAAAGAAGGGGAAAAGGCATGAATGTCTTCATTTCCCAAAGCGGGGTGTTGAGAGAGTTTGTGGTCGATAAACAATACAGAGTTTTATTTATTTATTTGACTCGGAGAGAGAGATAGTGAGAGAGAGCGCACAAGCAGGGGGAGAGGCAGAGGGAGGGGCAGAGGGAGAGGGAGAAGCAGGCTCCCCACTGAGCAGGGAGCCCAATGCGGGGCTCCATCCCAGAACCCCGGGATCATGACCTGAGCCAAAGGCAGACACTAAACCGACTGAGCCACTCAGGCACCCCAACAATACAGATTTTTTTTTAAAGATCTTATTTATTTGAGAGAGAGACAAAGAGAGTGAGAGAAAAAGAGAGAGAGAACACGAGCGGGGTGAGGGGGAGAGGGAGAAGCAGACTCCCTGCTGAACAGGGAGCCCGATCCCAGGACCCCAGGATCACGACCTGAGCCGAAGGCAGACATTCAACCGACTGAGCCACCCAGCCCCCCCCCAACAATACAGATTTTTAAGTATATCACTGCAAGTCAAAGAGTTCATGACCAGTGGGAAAACGAATGGTGATGTGACTTCACTGAGAGGAATGGACTTAGGAAAGAGTGTAAATGAACTAATGTCTTATTTGGTAAAGTAGGAAGTTAATAATGTCTAAAATTTCATCATGACGTAGTCATGTAAGTTTCTTATTTGGAAATGAGAAGAATTAAAAATAAGAATGGCTAAAGTCTCATTAAGAAAGGAAATCCAGATGGCTAATAAACATGGACAAGTGTCCAATATGAAATGCCACTACCCTTCAATCACATTAACAAAGAAGTCTGATAATTACAGGTTTCCTAGACCTGGAGTATAATAGGAATCTCACACCCTGCTTATATGGGCATATAAATCGACACAGCTACTTTGGAAAGCATTCAACATTGTTCATTACCTGAAGGCGTGCTAATCCTTCACAACCCAAGTTTCCCTATCCCCTGCCCAGCCGGTATACATACTAGAATAACTGGTGCAATAGGGTACGTGTGTGATTTGCTTTAGGACCAACTAAAAGCAGCCCAAACATCCCTTAAGAGTCGAAAATGATGTGTATTCATACAGTGGGGAAACTACAAAGCAATAAAGTTGAATGAACTAGAGCCTACTGGCAACAATGTAGATGAATTTTTAAAAACAATATTGACTGGAAGACTGCATATACTGTGATTCTCTTTACATGAAGTTAAGAGTTGGCAAAACCAAAGGGAATTTTTAGGGATGCATGCATGTAAAGATGCACTTTTTAGTATGGATACCGTATTTTACAATTAAAACCTACTCAAAGGGGCGCCTGGCTGGTTCAGTCGGTAGAGCATGTAACTCTTGATCTTGGAACTGTGAATTCAAACCCCACGCTGGGCATAAAGATTACTTAAAAAAAATGAAAACCTGCTTAAGAAAAGGTTGCCTCTAGGGGGCTGTATGTGTGAGTGAGTTGAGACTATTTGATTTTAAGTCTTTCGCTACTGTTTGCATTCACATATATTCACTATATGTGAATTAGCATTAACTGAACATACCCTATGCAGCAAGCACTCTTCTGAGTTTATGTGAGTGTTGTTAACTTGTAATCCTCACAAGAACTGTGTCTTCATGTTAGAGATGAGGAAATGGAGGCCTAGAGTTACTGAACTTGTCCAAGGTTATATAGCTGAGGGGCAGGGCCAGGTTTTAGCCACAGAGATTCTGAATTTTTAAAATATAATCTGAAGGAGAAATTTAACTACTAATTACACACAGAACTCCTATTGGCACAGGTTTACCTTATTCAACAATTACTTTTCGTGTGCTTTGTGCTAGATACATGTGCTGGGATCAAATATGCCCCCTTCCCCTAAATTTCTTGCACTTTGAAGTGAGGAAGCAAGCCAACAGTTATAGTAGAAGTTATATACCAAGTGATACATTGCTGAAAGCAGTCTAAAATCTTAGGAACCTTTTGTAGATCAGTATCACAGAACCTTAAAAATGTTCATTTGCTTTGATCTCAAACTCATTTTTATTGACTCATTGCAAGAAAATTATCTACATATGGGAAAAGGCCTTCATGCGTAAAAATATTTTGTTTTATAATACTGAAAGGTTGGAAAGGATTTAAATGTTTAACCATATAGGAATGATTACAGAACCAAGACATGCTCAGTGGAATATTTTGTAGCCCATTAAAAAAGTCAAGGTTAGGGGTGGCTCAGTTGGTTAAGTGGCCGACTCTTGATTTCAGCTCAGGTCATGGTCTCAAGGTCAGGATATTGCACCCCCGAGTTGTGCTTCTTGCTCAGCAGGGAGTCTGCTTGAGATTCTCTCTCACTCTCTCCCCCCTCTCCCCTGCCAGCTCACGGGCACTCTTTCTCTCTCTCTCTCAAAAATAAATAAATCTTTTTTAAAAATCAAGGCTATGAATCCCGACTATATAAAAAATGATCCACTGTAAATGAAAAAAAGTTGGGGCGCCTGGGTGGCTCAGTCGTTAAGCGTCTGCCTTCAGCTCAGATCATGGTCCCAGGACCCTGGGATCGAGCCCCGCATCGGGCTTCCTGCTTAGCAGGAGGCCTGCTTCTCCCTCTCCCACTCCCCCTGCTTGTGTTCCTTCTCTCGCTATGTCTCTCTCTGTTAAATAAATAAATAAAATCTTTAAAAAAAAAAATAAATGGAAAAAAGTTAAACATAAAATTAGAGATACAATATGATGGGAGCTTTGTTCCAGGAAAGAAAAAAAAAACTAGCCAATGTATAGAAGGGGAAGGAGAGCAGATGACAAGAAAGAGGATTTCTCCAAAACCTGATCATTAGTCTAATTTACATAACAGAATGTCAGATAATTTTGCTTTCTAATCTTTTGGTTCCATATTTTTTTTAAGTATAGACATTGAGCTTTTTTTAAAATTTGTTTTAATTTAAATTCAATTAATTAACATATAATGTATTATTAGTTTCAGAGGTAGAGTTCAGTGATTCATCAGTCTTATATAAAACCCAGTGTTGATTACTTCTTGTTCCCCCCCTTAATGTCCCATAACCCAGTTACCCCACCCCCACCCCCTCCCCTCCAGCATCCCTCAGTTTGTTTCCTATGATTAAGAGTCTCTTACGGTTTCATATTTTTTTAAAGAGCATGAATTACTTTTAACTTTGTAGGAAGGTACAGTTTTTCATGAAAATCCAACGTGATATTCTAACTCCCTCCACTAGAGGGAGAAGCTATTTCATGTAATTGCACAATGTGCTGTTTATATTTAGAGCCAGTTGAGAATGGAGCATTTCAGTCTGTACATTCTCTGATTGTGGTGAGACTTTCTTGTTTACTGATTTGTTTAGAATTTCTGTGAAATAAGTTTTAAATATTAAAACCATTATATAGGGGCGCCTGGGTGGCTCAGTCGTTAAGCGTCTGCCTTCGGCTCAGGTCATGATCCCGGGGTCCTGGGATCGAGCCCTGCATCGGGCTCCCTGCTCCGCGGGAGGCCTGCTTCTCCCTCTCCCACTCCCCCTGCTTGTGTTCCTGCTCTCTCTCTCTCTCTCTGTCAAAAAATAAGTAAAATCTTAAAAAAGAAAAAAAGATTTATTAAAAAAAATAATAAAAAAATTATATAAGTAAGTAGAGGTATTTGTAATTTTTTTCCTTTGTCCCCATTAAAAATTTGGCTGGCTTCAAATGTTTAATGAAACATTGAAGAATTTGAAGTTGTTAGACTATTTTAAAATTTTTAAACGTAAATTCTGAGTATAAAGTATATGTTCATTGAGCAAATTTCTAAAAACAATGGAAAACTTACTGAAGAAAATAAAAGCCACCTCTATGTACACACACCTCATCTACCCTTTTGTCATAAAAAGGTGTCAAAAATATTTTGTCATGTCACTAAATACTCTCCTACCTCAGAGAATCTTAGATTAAGCTTCTGTCCTCTCGCCCCTGAAAAACGCACAGAATATAAAGCTCCTGCAAGCCCATTCATTAATTCTGGTTAAGACCTCTTGTCAGTGTTTTTTAGTGGCTTTGCAGAGCATTTCTTCATATGGGTGTGCTGTTTTTATTTAAACTAACCCAATTTGGAAGCTTGTAGCTCACTTCTAGGGTTAGGCCTAAACAGTCGCGTATGACACGTCGGTAGATAAATCTTTGCCCAGGTCTTTGGTGGTTTCCTTAGGGTAAACTCCTGGGTGTAGGGTCGGTGGTATGTACTCACTGCCCCGAAGCTAGTGCTAGTTTCCTCCGTCAAGACAGCATGTAACAGAGTTCCCCCCTCAAGCCGCATGCACCAGGGGTAAACTAAACTCTGAGTTGAAATTCTTTAAGTGATTGTCCAAAAGCCTTTAAAGTGTATAAATATACCTTGTTGTTTTAGTAAGTGGAGGTATTTTGTTTATTGCTGCACAAGAAACCAGCCCCACAACAGCGGCTTTAAACAGTAGAAGTCCTTGATTGTGTTCATGAACCTGGGGCTTGAGCAGTATATCAATGTTCTATTGCTGTGAACCTCATGGCTTGAAACACCACCTGCTGACGAGCTCCCAGTTCCGTAGGTCAGAAGTCCAGGTACGGCATGACTAGGCTCTCTGCTTCGTCTCAGAGAGCTGAAGTCATATGTCAGTCAGGCTGTGTTCTCATCGTGGCTCTGGGGAAGAACCTACTCCCAACTTAGACAGCTCATTGGCCTAATTCAGTTCTTTTTTTTTTTTTTTTTTTTTTTTAAGATTTTATTTATTTATTTGACAGAGAGAGACACAGCGAGAGAGGGAACACAAGCAGGGGGAGCGGGAGAGGGAGAAGCAGGCTTCCCGCGGAGCAGGGAGCCCGATGCGGGACTCGATCCCAGGACCCCGCGACCATGACCTGAGCCGAAGGCAGTCGCTTAACGACTGAGCCACCCAGGCGCCCTCTCTCTCTCTTTTTTTTAAAGATTTTATTTATTTATTTGACAGAGAGAGACACAGCGAGAGAGGGAACACAAGCAGGGGGAGTGGGAGAGGGAGAAGCAGGCTTACCGCCGAGCAGGGAGCCCGATGTGGGGCTCAATCCCAGGACCCCGGGATCATGACCTGAGCCAAAGGCAGATGCTTAACGACTGAGCCACCCAGGCGCCCTCTCTCTCTCTTTTTTTAAAGATTTTATTTATTTATTTGACAGAGAGAGACACAGCGAGAGCGGGAACACAAGCAGGGGGACCGGGAGAGGGAGAAGCAGGCTTCCCGCGGAGCAGGGAGTCCGATGCGGGACTCGATCCCAGGACCCCGCGACCATGACCTGAGCCGAAGGCAGTCGCTTAACCAACTGAGCCACCCAGGCGCCCGGCCTAATTCAGTTCTTGGAGTTGTAGGACAGAGATCCTCCTTTCATGCTGGCTGTCAGTTGGGGGACAGTCTCAGCTCCTAGAGGCCTCCCTCCCATTCCTTGCCACGACATCACACTTGACTTGTTCAAAGCCAGCCACAAAGAATCTCGCCTTTGTCCCTTTTTTACTTTAGATCTTAAGGAAGACCCCAGTCCCTTTTAATAGGCCACCTGATTAAGTTACATCCACCCAGAATAATTTCTGAAGATCAATTAAAGATTTGAGGAACCTTAATTACATCTTCAAAATCCCTTCACTGCAGCACCAATTAGATCAGTATTTGATTAACTGGGAGGATCATATAGTTTAGCCGGTAGGACTCTGAGGGGCTGTCTTAGAATTCTGCCAGCCACAAGTAGTGTCCCCCGCTGCAAGGACTTAAGTATCTTGTTCTTGGAAATCAAAACTTACCAGTGTCCATTCTATTTTTTTTTTAATATTTTTTATTTATTTGAGAGAGAGAGAGAGATCACGAGCAGAGCGGGGAAAGGCAGAGGGAGAAGCTGACTCCTCGCTGAGAGGGAGCCCAATGCGGGACTCGATCCCGGGACTCTGGGGTCATGACCTGAGCCGAAGGCAGACGCTTAACTGACTGAGCCACCCAGGCGCCCTGTGCATTCTATTTTATTGACGTTGGTGAATGGGGAGATTACCACTTCTGTGAACAGGCATGGGGCCCAACTTCCTGAGTTCAAAATGTGGTTCTGCAACTTAATGATCTTAGGTGATATGGTCTGGGGTGTCCTACACTACTTTTCTCTGTCTCCATTTTCTCACCTGTAAAATGACATGGAGTTAATTGTTCTTTCCTTGTAGGGTTTTGATGATTAAATTATTTAATATCCAGGAAATTCCTATTAGGACAGGGCTTGGCACATACTAAAGTGCTTTAAAAGTGTTTACTTTTTAAAATGCATTTGATTCTGCAATTATATAATTTGGGTGGGTTAACTATGTTAGTGAGATTTCCTATTATAACGGGGCCCATTAATAAAAGTAGAATTTTCCTTTCTTGGCCTTAGTGTTTTATTTCTGACTTAACTGTATTATACACATATGCCTTTTATGGTGAGCTGCCACAAATTTATTTTGGAAAGTATTGGATTCAAATAAATTTTTAATATGCTAATTTGGTATTTTTGGTAATTAATTTCACTAGCATGGTAGGATAAAATCATTAAGTAACAGATTATAATCCTGAAGTCTGAGTTTACTTGTGGTTCTATGCCTAAATCCTTGGTGAGATCTATAAATGGAAAGGCTTTTGGATATGATACTATAAATTGCTTATAATACTCTATTTTTTCACACTAGGAAAAACTGGAGGAGTGCCTAAAGCAGTTAAAGGAGGAAAGAGTAATAAGGTTTAAGGCTGATAAACGAGTCAGTGAGGTAAACAGGTTTTTTCTTATACTTTTGAAAGTGTTTTGGTTTTATTTTTATTTGATTTTAAGCCATACACATGCAGTTTATAAACTTTAAAACTAATATATTGCAAATTGGTTGTACCATATGAACCTTTGTATTTACTTCTTTTAGTGGTCATATGATCTCTATTCCAGAAAACATGTTTTTAAAATGGAAAAATCTTAGGGATACCTGGGTGGCTCGGTTGGTTAAACATCCGGCTCTTAATCTCAGCTCAGGTCCTAATCTCAGGGTTGTGAGTTCAAGCCCTGCACTGGGGTCCACATATTTTGGGTGGGGAGCATATTTTTTAAAAAAAGAAGTAAAAATCTTAGGGGTTTTTTTGGTGTGTGTTTATTTTTATATGATGTTAGCTTATTTTCTGTTTATGATGCTTCAGTTCAAGAAAGCACTTATGCTTATATGCATATATAGTAACATAAAAGATATGATGAAACTACTTACTGGCAGTGAATAGTTTAAATAAGTAAGTATAAAATATTAGAAAACTGCTAAGAATGCAGTGAAAGAGAAAAATATATACTATGAGAATTACATTAGGGAAGTGTGCATGGAAGCAGGACATAAGCTCAGAAGTTGTATGTAAATATAATTTATTATTATAAGGTGAGTTTTGGGAGGAATTTTCGCAAGTGCATACACTGGATTGAAGAACACTTACTCATTCAGTAAAGGTTGAGCACCTGTAAGGTAAAAGCTACGTCATGAACAAAAGAGCCTCTCTGAGAAATACTAGAGTTGGGTTTATCTGTGTTTTTAGCTGAATAGATGGGGGAATCATTACAGAACGTAATGATTCTACGAGATTTCCAATAGATGGGGACACGCAAGGGAGGAAACATTTTCAAGAAGCCAAGGAGGATATTAGTCATTGTATGGTTAATTAGTTGGGTATGATTCAGGACTTTTAAACTTAGACATTTAATATTTTGCTCAATAAAGTTAATCCTTAACATCCAGCCAAGTTGGAATATGCTTTGCTCAAATCAGACTATTTCACTTTCTAATTTAAAGGGAACCTTAAGCAGCTAATTTTTCTAATGTAAATGAGGGTCTGTTATGAATATAATCAGTTAGAAAAGTGATCTTTTGAAAGATCATTAATAATTAAACAGTTACTTTGGTTTATTTATATACCACCTAAGTATTATATAGGAAACTCTGTTGGGTATCTTTGGGTTTTGATCATTATGTGATGTAGTCTCTGTCTTCATAGGCAGAAAGTTAGATTAATTACAAATTAATTACATTTGAAATGTTTTAGTTTTGTTGCTTAAAAACTTTTCTTTTCATGACAATGGAAGAAAATCATGTCAGACATTTTCAATTTTCTTTTATAGCTGGAACATGAAAATGCCCAGTTAAGAAATATAAATTTCTCTTTGTCTGAAGCCCTGCATGCACAGTCATTGACAAGCATGATCCTGGATGACGAAGGTGTTTTGGGCAGCATTGAGAATTCTTTTCAGAAGTTCCATGCTTTCTTGGACCTCCTTAAAGATGCTGGGTTAGTAGTTTCTCTCCATGGCATTATTCTCTTTGCATCTGTAATGAGGGTTTACTAAGGAATGTGAGCAATTTTCAGTGGCTTCCATAGTCTTATTTAGCGTGTAATATTGGGTGTTTTTTAAATGAGGAATTAAAAGAAATGCAAAATGGTAAACCTGCTTTGGTAGAGGAGAGAGCCCATTATGAAAGAATAACCTGAAGATTAAGTAATTTTTAGGTATAGTTTTTGGAAAAGACTACACTGACGATAATTTTACTTGAAAATATTCCAGAATGCATCAGAGTTTCCCTCCCTTTTATTTATCTTTCTGGTAAAATAAATTTGAATTAAAGTGGTTTTTGTCCTACACAGAGAAGTTATTATTAATCTGTAAGGCAAATATAGATACAAATCAGTCATTCTCAACCGTGAATGATTTTGCTAAAGGAAGATACTGAAAGAGAGAATTGGAGATTGAAATTGATGGAGTGATGTTTTGTGGGTGAAGGAGTTAGTGTTGGGAAGGAAGGAACGAACACGTTTTTGGAAACAGGAGGAGAGGTGGTCAGGAAGTGGGGGTGAGGTGAGAGCTGATGCACTGGGTGCATACTAGAAGCTGAAGCATTGAAATGGAGTGACGAATCAGGTGGTGGTCAAGACGTTGTTGGGGGAAGAGGGGGTGCTGCAAGGATGGCATGAGCTGATGTGGTCCCAGAGCATGAATGTGGAAGGGCTGAGAGTTTGAGAGAGAAAAGGGGCTTGTATCTGCGGTAGGGTAGTGGTTTTTAAGATTTTAGAAGTATTTCCTGATTATAGGTATGGGGAAGTCTAAGCTGCTCACATGCAATTATAGTAACCTTTGCTTTTTTCCTCCTTTCCTCCTCTTGTCCAGGCTTGGGCAGCTTGCCACAATGGCTGGAATAGATCAGTCAGATTTTCATTTACTGGGTCGTCCCCAGATGAATTCTACTCTCAGTAGTCTGCCTATGGAAGAAAAGAAAGCACTTGAAGAAGAAAAACGAGAATCAAAGCAGAACCCCCTAGGACAGATGCAAAATATCCAAGTAAGTGGACAGAACAGAACGTCGTGATTCTACGAGTGATAGCCAAAAGGGAATTATCAAGTCAGAGAGAAAATAATACTGCTCTGTCCCTAATAACTCACATGCTTAGGAGGAGCCTCTTTGGGGTCCTTTCCAAATGTGAAATTAGTTAAGTTTGGACCCGTTTCATAATATCGTGTAGTTACAAATAAGAAAGACAGACGGTCTTTTGCAAATGTATGATTTAAAGTAAACTATTCTCAGTGAAGAAAGAAATGAAACATTAGAGAGAGCATTCCAAATTTTAAATTGTGTAAATGTCTATTTTATTCATATTTCATCTAGGTTTCTATTTGTATGCAGTCAGCTTGCAGTGAAGGAACACTAATGAAGGTACAACTACTGATCCAGATAATTTTCTTAAATAAGTAACCCAGACGTAACTAATAGACAGTGCATTATAGTTAGCCTCCCAGTTATGGGAGCGAGAGGAGACAAACCCGTCTGCTCTTCTCCTGGCCTGACTTCCTGGAGCCTTCCCTTCGTCTTCCGTCTCAGCCAACCTCAGACAGTCTTGGGAACTGACAGCTTGAGAACAGTCTCATCACAAATTGGAGACTGCTTCCATGTTCCTAGACGATAGAAAAGAAATTAATTTCCTTAGGGAATAGGGCTTTATTATTTTTAATGAGGGAAAGGGAAGTGGGCAATAATCATCCCAAACACCAAGTATGAAAATGGAGTAGACGTTGCCTTGGATATAGCGAAGTTAAATTGGGAACCATCTGGCAGGATATAATTAGAAAAAAACTGGATCTAAAATCTTCTGATTAATCAAATGACTGTCATAATAATACAATCACAGAGTAACACTGAAGTCATGGACTCTACTTTTTAATGGTTGGCTTTGTTCATCACTGAATTTTTGTTTTGTCGTCTTTTGTTTTTCCCTCCAGTTTCAGAAAATCACAGGTGATGCTAGAATTCCTTTGCCTCTCGACTCCTTCCATGTCCCCGTTTCCACGCAGGAGCCCTTAGAAACCTCTAGAGACAACCTGGGAGTCCCAGTCAATGAGCAGTGGCAGGACTCTATCACAGAATTCATTGCTGGAACATGTTCTCCCTCAGCAGATGTGATGTCTGGAGCTGGAAGCCAAAGAAAAGAAGATGAATTGTCTAGAAATAGCAGATCTTCTTCAGAGAAAATGACCAGAACAGGTGAATATACCAAAAAACATTGTGCTAAAAAACAGCCCAGAAAGGACCTGCATCCCTGCTCTGACTCACCTGTAAATCGGAAAAGTAAAGGAATTGGGCAAAATGATTCTTTGGTTAACGAACCAGTTAAAAGTGAGTCTTTGAAAAAACACGTTTCTGTCAAGAAAGAAAGTAGAATAGTGACTGTTTCATCCAAGACGACTAAAAGTAAACTCAATCTGTTAGAGCACTCTGAAGGTGATACTCTTGGATCTGACTTTGAATTTCAAGAAAGCATCCATACCGTATCACACCTGACATAGGTCTAAATCTTTTGAAATTATGTTTTTGCCTTCAAATTTTAATAAATTTCTTATGTTTTCATTGTGGCATATGGTGTTTTAAAATATAGTACTGGAAGCCATCAGAGATTTATCCATTCTTTTTATTGTAATGAAACTTTTGGGGTATGTTTTCTTTTTGACACTCTCCACCTTTCACTCAACAAGTTATTTTTTGTGGACTTAATATGTATGATACTATTCTGGGTGCTATCGCTTTCAGCAATGAACAAAACAAAACCTTTACATTCACGGAACTAATATTCTGTGGAGGGAGAAAAAAAATACCAAAGCAGGATAAGGGCCCTAGAAAGGATGGGGTAATAAATGGGGGGAGTTTTAACATTTGGGTAAATGTGGAAATATTATAAATCACTTTGCCAGAAGTCATTGGCATATCCTGATTCATAATAACCAGAGCAGCAAACATTCACCAGGGTACTTAGCCATAGTCATGGATTACAGCAACTGTATACGGTAGGGAACCATTATTGGGCACATTTTATAGATGAGGAGTCTGAGGAGACAGATTATGTGAGTTGCCCAAAATTACAGAGCTTTAAATAAGTGGTGGAGCTGGGATTTGAACCAGAACCCATGCCCTTAATCCCTTTGTTGTCCTGTTACCTTGCTAAGAGAAGAAGGGCTTGCGGAAGCCATGGAGAGAGAAGCCACTGAGCGCAGGACGTGCATGGCGGGGCTATACGCCTGCCCCTCCCGCATCTGGGTCAGGTACTTAAAGGCAGACGGCGTAAGAGCATATGAACGTGCATCTCCGGACCAAATGATGCCTCCCTGGTAAAACGTGCATAGAAAAGTCCTGAGTTAGGCTGTGACTTTGGAGAGGTAAAATCAGAGAAAAGCTGGTGTGTCAAATTTCTTCTGAGAAGGCCCTGCCTGATCGTTACCGAAGGACCACTGCAGTACTGAGTTCATGAATCATGGATTGAGTGCGGTGGGAGTAAAACAATAAAGATACAGCCCTGGGGCGCCTGGGTGGCTCAGTCGGTTAAGCGACTGCCTTCGGCTCAGGTCATGATCCCAGGGTCCTGGGATCGAGTCCCGCATCGGGCTCCCTGCTCAGCAGGGGGTCTGCTTCTCCCTCTGACCCTCCCCCCTCTCATGCTCTCTCTCTCCCTCTCTCTCATTCTCTCAAATAGATAAATAAAATCTTAAAAAAAAGAAAAGTTTAAGTCAGAAGCAGAGAAAGGATTTTGAGGAAAGCGGAAATAGCATTTCAAGAAGGAAGAAATAGATAACAGCGTCATGCTGCAGAGAATGTGTTTGGCTTTGGCAGTTAGGTCCCTGGTGACCTTAATGGGAGTCATTCAGGGGAAGTGGTAGACGTAGCCAGATTGAGACAAGTGGAGGGGACAGGGCCGCTCTGAGGGGACAGTGAAGAGTGGGTATAGGCTATTCTTTGAAGGAGTCTGGATGAGAAGAGGAAGCAAGGAGTTCAAAAAGAATTTTTTTTAGACTGAGAGTGACTTAAGTGTTTATAGGTTGAAAGGAACGAGCCCATCAAAGGAGATAGTGAAGATGCTGAGGATTGAGAGGCTCACCCATACAGCAGGATCCAAGGATGTGGGAGCATGAGCTACGTTAATGCTGTTAAGACGGGAAGAAAGAGCTGTGAACAGGTGTGGATGTAGATTACTTGATTGCTCAGTGAATTTGAGGTGGCTCACGTCCGTACGTGCAGTGCAAAATGATGAGATAAGTAACTTAGAGAATTGGGAAAACAGGGAAATAAATACGGTAAGGAAAAAACAGGGATACAGTTCATGTTGCAAAATATTTAAGAATGACTTATACTCTTCAAGTGGGATGAATTCTGGCAAGTTTGGGGTGAAATAGCATTGGGAAAAAGTAGAAGTTAAGTGAGTTTGTGCTGATAACCTCAGTTTTCTTTTTTAACAAGAAATTTTTTAAAAAACATACATCTACAAAATTACCATTTTAAAATGGTTGCATAATTTTTTTTTTTTTTAAAGATTTTATTTATTTATTTGAGACAGAGAGAATGAGAGAGAGAGAGAGCACATGAGAGGGGGGAGGGTCAGAGGGAGAAGCAGACTCCCTGCCGAGCAGGGAGCCCGATGCGGGACTCGATCCAGGGACTCCAGGATCATGACCTGAGCCGAAGGCAGTCGCTTAACCAACTGAGCCACCCAGGCGCCCAAAAAGAATCATCAATATCGATATCTTGTCGCTTAATGTGAGGATTTTAGAAGTTTGATGTTAAACTTCTACTATTACACCTGAAGCAATGTCACTTCACCGAAATACAGTATTTTCATCTGGGTTAGAGGAAGTTACAAGCCTGTACCTTTACTGAGAAGTTACTGTGTACCTTTGCCGAGTGATTACCTGAGCATGTGCAGTCTATGCAAAGAGGAGTTTTCTGAGGTTTTAAAAACAGTGTCAGATGTGATACTCTAGCAAAGAGTTTGTAGTCCTGCCTTAAATCCACATAATTACGATTGGTCATAATTACTATCACAATAATTACTTTTCCATTCCTAGCCAGTACTGTGTCCAGGAAGCAGTCTAATTTCAAATGGATATTTACAGAATAATCCCCAATCTCGAGATTTTCAGAGGACCAGCGAGATAGGCGACAACAATTAATTTTTTTAAAGATTCTGATTATGAACTACATGCTGGAGCTGATCACGTAACAAAGATGACTGAACACATTGTTTTACTCTTCCAGAATCTCATTGAAATGACTGGAGAAATACTAAAAATAGAATAGCAGAATTGGAAAACCAGAACATGAACAGTGTGGAATTCCTAGAAGATAAAAAGCAGATGATCGAGGATCAGTTAATTAAAGAGGGAAGCAGCTCAGCCATTCTGCGCACCTTTGAAGCACCTAATTCTGGAGTTTGCCACCAGGCTAAGGCTAAGAAAACAGCCCTTTGAGGTAGGAGTTCTGACACAGACACACTGGGATCGGAGAAGAAGGGTGTCACCCAAATGCCTCCAAGGAGGAACCGAGGATCTGCTGCCCAGCCACTCGCTCTGGCTGTGGGGAGCAGCCACTCCCTTTCTCATCACCACAGGCGCCCATGGTCAGCATCTGTGTTCACTAAAAGTGGGACAGTTGTTTGGCTGGGGAAAAGCACTTCAAACTGTAATCTTAGGTCTGCATCCATAAATACGCCAAGAATCATCAGATTTGAAGAAAAAACCAGTAACATCAAAGGAGACACCAAATTAAAACAAAGTAACCTGTTCAAGAAAGTAGTAGAAGAAACAGAAGAAATGTAAAAATGAATATGATTAAGGTCATATTCATAAGGATATTGTATCCATAAACAATAAGATGCTAGGAAAAAAATACTTAGTGTCTAGAAACTGAAAATATAATTATGAAAAAACACTCAGAAGATGGGCTAGATTGCAGAATGGGTTCAGCTGAAGCTTAAATTCATGAAATGCAAGATTTGAGAGATTCTCCCTAATATGCCCTGCAAAGGGATGAAAGGTAAATACTATGAAGGAAAAGCGCAAGTCCTTCACAAACTCAGACGTATAGTAATTGCACAAGTAGTAAGCAGTTGGCATATAGTAAGTACACAAATGCTTGTGGAATTAATGAGACAACACAGATTTCAGTATTAGACTTCTTATTCAATAACTAAAAGAAATTTTTCTCTAAGAATTACTAAGCGCACTGAACAGTGAATCCATGATGAGATTTTAAATCAAAGCAACTGATGATGCCATGAGATCTGTCATTCCCCTTTATAATCATGAGATGCCTATAATCAGAAAAAGTCTAAATGAATATTAATGCATATGGGAAAATAAAGTGAGCTCCACATCACCCTCAACCTGGGAGCCAGCTGATGAAGCATCACTATTTAGAATGTTGCTGGTTGCAACACCCAAGGAAAAAGAGAGTGAGGCAACGTTCACTGACTTAAAGCTTCTGCACACATGCCACTTCTCACACTTCATTAGCCAAGAGTGTCACATGGCCGTGCCCTAGTTCAGAGCAGGGAAGCACAGTGCGGACTTACTGTGTCAAGACAAGGAGAGAGAAGCAAATACGTGTCAACAACTTTCATAGCTACCAACTGCCAGGAATGGGAGGTGGAATTTAAAAATCCAAGAAAAGTCAGGGGGCGCCTGGGTGGCTCAGTCGGTTAAGCGGCTGCCTTCGGCTCAGGTCATGATCCCTGGGTCCTGGGATCGAGCCCCGCATCGGGCTCCCTGCTCAGTGGGGAGTCTGCTTCTCCCTCTCTCTCTGCCTGCCTCTCTGCCTACTTGTGCTTTCTCTCTGTCAAATAAATAAATAAAATCTTTAAAAAAAAAAAAAAGAAAAGTCAGGAAAGAGAAAAGTTGTTACACAGGGGGAAAAAGAAGTAAGACCAAATGCTTTTCTCACAATAAATCTAAGTAGGTTAAATTCTAAAATTCCTTAGGCTTGAGTAAAAACAAAAAATCCAACTATGCACTATTTACAAAAAGCAAATCTATCATGGATTATAAAGAAATAGACAAAGGTATACCAGGCAGATGCTAACAAAAGTGGATGTGGCTTTGTTAACTTCTGGCTAAATAGAATAAATAGAATCCAAAATGAAAAGCATTAAAGGGGGGCAAAGAAGAAAGCATTTCTTTTTGACTAATAAAAAGTATAGTTTGCTGAGGGATTTTTTTAACATTTTTTTAAAGATTTTATTTATTTCTTAGCACAAGCAGGGAGGAGGGGCAGAGGGAGAGGGAGAAGCAGACTCCCCGATGAGCAGGGAGCCTGATGGGGGGCTTGATCCCAGGACCCCCGGACCATGACCCAGGCCAAAGGCAGACGCTTAATCAGCTGAGCCACCCAGGCACCCCTTGCTGAAAGATTTTTAAAAATATATCTCCAACCTAAAAACTCAGTTTCAAAATTGATGGAGTGAAAATTTTAGAAATACAAGGAGAAATGGACAAACCAATTATGAGAAAGGCTTTAACACATCTCTCTTCAAAATCAGTGGACCCACCACTACACACTTATTAGAATGGCTTACGGTACAAGCACTGATGAGGATGCAGAGCAACAGGAATTCTCATAGACTGCTGGTAGAAATGCAAGATAATGCGGCCACTCAGAACAGACTGGCAGTGCCTCTAAACAGTAAACATATCATATGACCCCCACCGTCACTCCTGGGTGTTCACTCTAAATAGATTAAAACTCGTGTTCACATAAGAACTGGTACACGAATGTTTATAGCAGCTCCATTCATAATCACCAAAATGTCTTCCAACAGGCGAGTGAATAAGCAAATGATAGTGTATCCACACACGCGATTAAAAAGGAATGAATTACATATATAACAACTTGGGTGAATCTCAACAGTCCTATGCTAAGTGAAAAAAGCCCCAAAGTTACATACTCTATGATTTCGTGTATTTGACATTCTTAAAAAGGCAAAACTGTGGTGATAGAGGATAGATCTGTGGTTGTCAGGTTTTGGGGAGCGGGGAGGATTGGATAACAAAGAGGCTATGCAGGGGTGTATCTTTTGGTGATGGACTTCTGGATTATGATTGTGATTATGATTGCAGAGGTGGTAATACAAACCCATACATACGTCAAAAATCATGGAACTGTACCCTCCTGAGTCATTTTTACTGTATGATAATGTTAAAGCAAAAAACTCAGGTCCTACCCCCTACCGATAGGTCAAGGTAAGGAAGGTATTATTTCCTAAGTATTTTGTATCCACCATGAATACAAAACATGTTCTTTCGGAAGATCTATGGAACACTAATCAAAATGATTGATATGAGGGGGGGAAACTTGTAAAATGCAAAGATCCTACAGATTGTGTCCTCTTTGCAAAATGTAATAAAACTAGTAACAAAACTAGTTGACTTGGAAATTTTTGAATTACCTTTTACACCTTTTATTAACTCCTTGATGGGGGAAATCAAAACAAATTATAGACAGTTTAGAGTGAATAAAAGTTACTTCTCAAAACCTAGGAGATTCTGCCAAATAAGATGTTAGAGGAAAATTTATAGGTTTTGACTTATTTTTCAAGAAATAAGAAAACCGAAAATAGGGGCACCTGGCTGGCTCAGTCAGTGGAACATGTGACTCGATCTCTGGGTTGTGAGTTTGAGCCTCACACTGGGTGTGGAGATTACTTAGGAATAAAATCTTAAAAAAGAAGAAGAAGAAAAAAGAAAGCTGAAAACAGGTGAAATAAAACTTAACTTTAGAAACCAGAAAAAAAGGTAAGCTGAAAGAAGCAAGGGATTTAAAAAGTTAAAAGCAGAAATGAATAAAATAGAAAGCAAACACATCTTGATCAATAAAATTAAAAAGTTCTAATGTAAAAACCAGTAAAAGGTAAACCTTTGAAAAATATGATAAAAAGAACAAGAAGTAACCAACAGGGCACCTGGTTGGCTCAGTTGGTTAAGCGACTGCCTTCGGCTCAGGTCATGATCCCAGAGTCCCTGGATCGAGTCCCGCATCGGGCTCCCTGCTCGGCAGGGAGTCTGCTTCTCCCTCTGACCCTCCCCCCTCTCATGTGCTCTCTCTCATTCTCTCTCTCACAAATAAATAAATAAAATCTTTAAAAAAAAAAAGTAACCAACAAAAATATATAACCAGAATTAATAATTTTTAGAAAGATAACATACTTTTTTAATTAGAAGGGAGTACTATTTACAACTTACTCCTAATGTAATTATATAGCTTCATTCCAATTTGAAAGAACCAGATGAAGTGTGATGACTTTTTTAAAAAAATAGATTCTAAAAATACATAAGAAGTAGAAAATGTAAATAGACCAAGTAATTTAGGAGAAATTAAAAAGGTAGTATGAGAACTTCTTTTAAAAAGGCAAATACTGCGGCACCTGGGTGACTCAGTTGGTTAAGCATCCAATTCTTGATTTCATCTCGGGTCATAGTCTCAGGGTCATGAGATCAAGCCCTGAGTCAGGCTCTGCGCTCCACACACAGTATGCTTGACATTCCCTCTCCCTCCCCTTCTGCCCTTCCCCCTGCTATTTGTACATGCTCTCTCTCTCTCTCCCCCTGCCTCTCATAAATAAATAAAGGCAAATGCTATCAGTCAAACCTTCAAGGCATCCACATATTTGTAAACCATTCTAGAGGATAGAAAAGAAAATGCAAAGCTGCCTAATTCATTCCATGTGGAAAGCATAATCCTGATACCAAAACTGCACAAATAAAACACAAGGAAAACTGTAGACCAATCTCACTTAACAGAGGTGCAAATCACTATAACTCACTAAATTAACAGATTAAAGAATGAAATACCATCTTCACTGCCGAAAAAAGCATTTAATAAGTCAAACACCCTCTGGTACTCTTAACAGTCTAGAAACAGAAGGAAACTTTACCTTGTAGCTTGATTAAACGTATCTATTTGAGATCTACAGCAAACAAACGATGAAAAAACTTAGAAACTGAGAAAATACAAAAATAGTGCTAAAAAGTATACACAACGCAAAGACAGTTGTCATCGTAAATGTTTTTGGACAAAAAGGAAACTAATGATTATCCGCTGGCATGGTATTACAATTAATGAGAAACTTAGTAAGCAGACAGGGCACAACACCAACATCAAAAACTTTTTTATACACCAGCAATAGCCAATTAGGAAATGTATGGAGGAAAAGATCCTACTCATGTAGAAATAAGGTTAACAGAGAAATGTTAAGGCCCATATGAATAATAATAATAAAAAAATCTATGCTGAAGGATATAAAAATAGACCCCCCCCCCAAATGGAGAGTCATGCCACAGTTCTAAGAGGAAGACCCAACACAATAAATGTGTCCATTCTACAAAAAAACTCATAAATTCAAAGCAATTTCACATAATCAAAGCAAGGGTTTTTATTTATTTTATTTATTTATTTATTTTTATTTTTTTAAAGATTTTATTTATTTATTTGACAGAGACAGAGACAGCGAGAGCAGGAACACAAACAGCGGGAGTGGGAGAGGGAGAAGCAGGCTTCCTGCTGAGCCGGGAGCCTGATGTGGGACTCGATCCCAGGGCCCCGGGATCATGACCTGAGCCGAAGGCAGTCGCTTAACCAACTGAGCCACCCAGGCGCCCCCAAAGCAAGGGTTTTTAAATGGATAGAACAACCTGATTACAAAGCTCATCTGGAAGACCATGCACAAAACAACTCCGAAATCAAAACAGTCCATGGAGCAAAAGTAAATGAAATAATGTGGTATTGGCACAGGAATAATCAAATAGGTTAAAAGCACAGAACAAAGAATCCAGGAACAGAGCCATGTATACAAAGGAATTTAGTACTTGAAAAATGGCCTTACAAATAGGTAAGGAATGGGGCGCTGGGTGGCTCAGTCATTAAGCATCTGCCTTCGGCTCAGGTCATGATCTCGGGGTCCTGGGATCGAGCCCCACATCGGGCTCCCTGCTCGGCGGGAAGCCTGCTTCTCCCTCTCCCACTCCCCCTGCTTGTGTTCCCTCTCTCACTGTCAAATAAATAAAATCTTTAAAAAAAAAAAAAAATTTTTTTATAAACAAAAATATAAACATGCAACTTCTTAAGAAATCAAAAATTAAAATGAGATACTGTTTTTTAGTCCTTGAAGTGTCAGATATGAGACAACGGGTGACAGTGCTGGAGATACTATGAATAAAGAGCACTCTCGTTGTTGAAGGATGTGTAAGTCGATACAGTTTTGGGGGTGGACAATTTGGCAGTGTATATCAATATTTAAAATGTGTCTAGCCTCTGATTTAATAACCATGATTCTAAGCATCCAGCCTAAAGACATATTCACACGAGTCCTAAGAGTCAATAAGAATGTGCATTGAAGCATTTTTTTTAAAGATTTTATTTATTTGACAGAGAGAGACACAGCGAGAGAGGGAACACAAGCAGGGGGGGGGGGGGGAGGGAGAAGCAGGCTTCCCCCTGAGCAGGGAGCCCTATGCGGGGCTCGATCCCAGGACCCCGGGATCATGACCTGAGCTGAAGGCAGACGCCTAACGACTGAGCCACCCAGGCACCCCAAAGCATTTTTTGAAATAATAAAAAATTAGAAACAACATAATTGTACATAAATGTGGAAATTATTGAATTAGTACCTACCAGTTCCTACCATGCAATACTCTGCAGCAGATAAAACAGCAGCTCTGTATGTAGTATGGACACGGAAGTATTTTTAAGACATACTGATACGGGGTGCCTGGCTGGCTCAGTCGGTAGAACATGCAACTCTTGATCTCAGTGTTGAGCTGGAGCCCCACGCTGAGTGTACAGATTACTTAAAAAATAAAATCTTTAAAAAAAAAAAGACATACTGACATGAAAAACAAGTTCTGCCATAATACTTATTGCACGCTATTTACATTTATATCGTTAAAAACCTGTTTACACATATACGGTGTACATTTTTGTCTGTGCGTGCCTAGAAAATACTCTGTAATAATACATATCAAGCTGTTGACAGTGACTCTGCAGAAGGCAGCAGGATTGTGAGGAGGGACAAAAGGGGGCTTTTTTCATATTTTACTCCATTTACTTTAGGTTGTTTGCTTTTTTTTTTTTTTAACGTAGGCTCCATGCCCAGTGTGGAGCCCAATGTGGGACTTGAACTCAAGACCCTGAGATGAGGACCTGAGCTGATATCAAGAGTCAGACACTTACCTGACTGAGCCACCCAGGCACCCCTGATTTTGTTTTTTAATAAGCCTCTTTTTATGGTTGACAAGTAATTTTCTAAATTCTCTTCATCACAGAGACCTTGGAAAATACAAACATATGACCTGCCATCCTGTATGTCCTGTGTCCATCTATTTTTCAAAATCTGGCTGTCCTAGTATCTATGTGGAAAATGAGCTTTACCATGTAACCTGTGTAACTCAGAGCTTTAAACCCAATGGCTTCCTACATAGTATATTCAAACTGCCTTTTTTTTTTTTTAACTACAACCCACAGTAAAAATTATATTTTATGCAAAGGAAAAGGTAAGTGTCCTGGCCCACACCTGCCTTGTGAGCACACGGAGTGAATGGAACATTTCATCGAACAGCTCTTACTGTACTTCTGGTGACAGTCTAGTATGTTCTGTCCTGTTTCATTCCTTTAAAGAAAATTCTGTTTGCAACCCACCAAGTAGGTTTCACAATCCACGACTGGGTCGTGACCTATGGTATGAAAACCCTGGGGAGAATGCTTCAGACACTTGCTCTGTCTACTCCTGACCAAACTGCTGCGGGCGTACAATGCGAGGCTGTCCCGCCTTGGCATCCTTCCTCCAGGGGTCAAAGTCCTTCTCCATTTGTGCGTTACTTGCAATTAGGTAATTTACGTGAGATTCCCCTTTAAAAAACCCTTTGTTACAGTGAAAGCCTGAGTTTTCAAACTGATGCATCTACACAGAATCCTAAAAATATAATTTGGTTAAAGAATTAAAAAAACCCCACAAATGTCCTGTGATTTAAGGCACTTGCTTGGTGTTGCTCACAAGGCACGTAGTGTACTTACTGTAAGGGCTGAAAGGGCTCAGTCCCTTAGTACAGTTTGTAAATTTTAAACCAGTGTGAATTTAAAAACAAAAAACAGAAAAACAACCAAGCAGTTTAGAGTTAGATAAGGACACCTCCTATAGATTAGATAATCATTAACTTTGTTCCCGAGTGACTAGGGAGGATTACTTGGTTTATTTTAAGGTCTCCAAAAGATAGTCCTCAATGTCCTTGACTGTGGAGGAGGCTCTTTTTTTTTTTTTTTTTGACAGAGACAGAGACAGCGAGAGCAGGAACACAAGCAGGGGGAGTGGGAGAGGGAGAAACAGGCTTCCCGCCGAGCAGGGAGCCTGATGTGGGACTCGATCCCAGGACCCTGGGATCATGACCTGAGCCGAAGGCAGACGCCCAACGACTGAGCCACCCAGGCGCCCTGGAGGAGGCTTTTATCTCTACACTGGAAAAACCAAAAACAAAACTTTGCAAAAATCTTAAAACTAGATAATCCCCGGGTCCTTTTGTCTTAAAGGATAAATTTGACTGCGGTGTGAAAACAGAAAAATCAGGAGAGGGGATAGGAGAGGTGTTGTATAAGGTTACACAACAATATTGTATTATAATCATCAAACTTGCTAAGAGACTAGATCTTAATTATTCCAACCACTAAAAAGAAATGATAATTGTGTGACGTGGTGGAGGTGATAACGCTACAATGACAATCATACAAATGTATCAAATCAATGTGTTGTACACCTTAAATTAACAAAATGTTATATGTCAAAAATATTTCAATTAAAAAAGCTAAAATCAATTTACTAAATAGCTCTAATTTCTTTACACCGAAGTCAAACCAAATCTTTTCTAAGAACCTAGTGCCTTGGGGCGCCTGGGTGGCTCAGTCAGTTAAGCAGCCGACTCTTGATTTCAGCTCAGGTCATGATCTCAGGGTCGTGGGATCGAGCCCCACACGTCAGGCTCTGTGCTCAGTAGGGAGTCAGTTTGAGATTTTCTCTTTCCTCTCCCTCTGCCCCTTGGCGTGCATGCTCTCTCTCTAATAAATAAATAAAATCTTAAAAAAAAAAAAAAAAAGAATCTAGTGCCTTATTGTATACCAGATAGGAGACACTTTCACGTATTATTCCAAGACCTGGAAACCTATGAGGGGTCAAAGGTGTTCTCTTTATACCTTTATATCAGTCATACCCTGGTTCAAGCTATTGCTTACAATCAAGTGAACCGCTAGCTGTTTTTGGGACGAGTGGCAAGAATGGCAAATTTGAAGCTATGGAACATGGTTTTCTTGGTTTCCTGCTCTTCTTAGGCTTATATCATTTTCTGTAGTTGCTCTCTTATCCAATGTAGTTAATATAATAACCTTGTAACTATATAATAAGTTTAAACTGGCTAATGCCTCAAAATTTTTGGTATAGATTTCCATTCATTTTTGATTTAAAAAAATTAAATATTATAATTTTTTTAAATTACATCACTTTTTTCAGGGGCACCTGGCTCAGTCGGTTAAGCATCCGACTCTCAGTTTCAGCTCAGGTCTTCATCTCAGGGTCATGAGTCCACGCTGGGCATGAAGTCTACTTTTAATAACTTTTTGCAGAAATCACTCATCTTAAACCGAGTGAAGTCCATAGTCTTCAAGGCCTAGGATTGAATACAATTGATAAGATGAAGTTTGGTGTTTTCTTTCACTGATAGGAGCAGATTTACCCTGAACCTTTTACTGGGGGTTAAGATTTTAGGTCTTTAGGTTAAAATAAAGCTTCAGGCCTACAACCCTCAGTTGTCCATAATTTTGCCATACCTTTAAAGTATTTCCTTTTTGTCCCAATTTTAATAAATGTGCTGCCAAAGCAAGCACCCAAGTATTCCCTTTTATAAACAGGACCAGGGGGCGCCTGGGTGGCTCAGTCGGTTAAGCGGCTGCCTTCGGCTCAGGTCATGATCCCAGGGTCCTGGGGTCGAGTCCCGCATCGGGCTCCCTGCTCAGTAGGGAGCCTGCTTCTCCCTCTCCCTCTGCCTGCCTCTCTGCCTACTTGTACTCTCTCTCTCTAATAAATAAATAAAAATCTTTAAATAAATAAATAAATAAATAAACAGGACCAGGATCGAACTTTCCACTAACCTGAGTTAACTCTGTTCCACCATTTACAGAGAGATGGTAATCATTTAGGGTTTCTCCCTGTTTGGTCAACTGGAAACCCATAACTCTTCTCTACAACAAAAAGATGCCTCTCTGCCTATTTCTCCATCTACCCCCCCCCCCCCCAACACCGTTCTCCCTTGAAGGAGAGTCAGTGCCTCAGGCCTTGGGTGAGAAATAGGCCTTGCCGGTAGGACATGGGTTGCCCTTCTGTGTTAACACTTAGGTTGTGCTTCAGCCCTTGCTGGTGACTTCAGCGAAATTAGAAGCAGCTTCATTTCTTCAGGGACTTCAAAGTCCCATGTGGAAGAGGCAAGGTGCCTGCTGGAATGAGGAACGTCTTACCTCCAAGCAGGCAGAGATGCGTCTCCTCAAGGGTTTTGAGGAGAAGCCGCTTCTGAGGAGAGCTAAACCCCCAGCACCCGGGCCTCGGCCGGCCTTGGACTCCCGCTAGCCGTGCGGAAGGCTCCGTGGCAGATGGACTGACCCCACGAACATGAGTTTCTCCCAGTTGAGTTTCAGTTCACAAGTCAGGGACTCCAGACAACCGGCCAAGGGGGTGACATCCTGGAGCACCTGAAGCCAGATTGTTCTGCAAGTGGAGGCAGCCGTGGAAAGAACCAGACTCTACCACCATCGCTGAACGAGGCCCCTTTGACCCTGAACTGAAGGGAAACTGGGCAGGAAATAATTGTGGATTTTTAATTTCTTTAGAGCTCAACCTTCAAGAGAAAGGATATTAATTTTTTTTTAGACTTTAATTCCTCCCTGAGAATTTAATAATGTGAGGCATTTCATACAGTTCAAATCAGGGCGTTTTAATATTGCCGGCATTTATTATTTGGAGTAGATTTATGCCTTCATTTGAATTCACTGCATAATCTCCAGCAAGCTCTATCGAATGCCCTACCTGGGAAAATCGAAGATGGAAAACAGATTGGGGAGTGCATTTTGAGGCTAGAGCATTGGGATAGGCTTGAGGGAATTTAATCGGTGCTCCATTGAGACCCATTTCAGGGCCGTCGGGGTCCCATGGCCGACCTCAGGAGGACTCACAAGGGGATGGTGATGAGGCCGGGGAGCACTCAGCATTTTCCCAGGAAGAACAGCGGCACTCATGCAGTGCTGAGCCCTGTGTGTTAAGAAACTCAAATGTTAGAAATACTGGCGACACAGGAAGAGAGACGTTTTCCCCTCCCTCCCTGTGTCAGCCGAAGTCCGTAAAGGTGAGCGTGTGCTTTCTCAGAGCTTTCGGACACTCAGCGTTCATTCTCCTTGTCAGGCCCCCTTCCTTCTCCCAGGATGAAGGAGTGGCTTATTCTGGCTGTTGAGGTCAGCAGTGGGGTTGTTCATTACACGGGCTCAGCCTCCTCCTCCTGGATATCTTCTGGATCCTGCCTGTCCCCGTTGCCTGCCATTGCCCAGTAAGTCCATTCCATTTGGTGAGGGAAGAGGAGAGAAAGACTAGCCTGAACTTGGCTCTCCATCCTAGCCTGCAGTCCACCTTGGAAAGTACTGACGTGGCTACTTTAATCCCCATGAGAGCCTATTGGGCTTCCGTGAACGGGTTTCAGCTGGGTTCAGAACTTTGAAGGGAAGAACAGTAGGATTAATTAGCATCCCAGAAACAACACAGGCTGTGTTCCTTCAGGTGTCAAGACAATATAATAATTAACTCTGGAGTCCCACCACCCCGGCTTCTGTTCTAGGAGAGAATGAATATCTTCCTCAGTTCCAGGTAGAAATCCTGGTGAAACCACCTCACACGCATTAGGATGGCTACTCTAACAAACCAACAAACCCCAGAAAGTAACAAGTGTCGGTGAGGATGTGGAGAAGGAGGAAGCCTCGTGGGCTTCCTCCCACTGCTGGTGGGAATGTGAAATGGTGCAGCTGCTACGGAAATCAGTATGGAGTCCCCCCCCCCCATTAAAAATAGAACTACCATATGATCCAGCAACTCCACTTCTGAATATATACCCCAAAGAACTGAAAGCCGGGTCTCAAATATGTATTTGTACATATTTGTCAGCATTTGTCACAGTAGCCAAAAGGTGGAAGCAACCCAAGCATCCACTGATGGATGGATAAACAGAATGTGGTAAAAAAAAAAAAATATATGTGAGGTAACAGAAAATAGATATACTGGACTCTAAAATACATATATTTAAAATAAATATATGGGCTCCTGAATCCTGGCACCGGGCTCCTAAAACCCTTGTCCTTTCCTAAGTGATAAGAGCACTAGGAGCGTCTCCTGTTCCGATGAGGTGACTCTGGATGGGCTTCTGGATGGGGGCTGGTCACCAAAAAAACCAAGACATAATTAGCAGCTTGGAGTTTTCAGCTTGGCTCCCCCTTCTCTAGAGAGAGGAGAGGGGCTGGAAATGGAGTTAAGAATTGATCGTGCCTACGTGAGAAAGCCTCAAAAGAAATTCCAGTCGTATACGGTTCTGAGAGCTTCCAGGTCGGTGAACACATCCACGTACCAGGAGGGTGGCAGGTGCCACACAAGGGACAGAGTCTCCTGCCTTCAGAACCCTCCCAGATCTCACCCTATGGATTTTTTTTTTTTTTTAAATCTGGCTGTTCATCCATATCCTTTATTATAGGCTTTAATAAACTGGTAAATATAAGTCAGTGTCCCTGAGTTCTGTGAGCTGTTCTAGCAAATACTCGAATCCAAGGGGGAGGAGGTCATGGGAACCTCTGGTTGTAGACAAGTCAGACAGAAGATGTGGGTAACCTGGGGACCTACTCCTTGCTATTGGCATCGAAGTGGGGCAAAGTCTTGAGGGACTGAGCCCTTACCCTGTGGGATCTGACGCTAACACAAGGCAGGGAGGGTCAGAAGTGAGTTAAATTGCAGTACCCTCAGCTGGTATTGCAGAATTTCTTGGTGGGGGAGAACGCCCACACGTCCGGTGTCAGAAATGGGGTGAGTGTGGTAGTCCTGTGGGAGTAAAGACTGGGATTTTTCTAATGCAACATACGATAGAGTAGTCACATGCACAGAGACAGAAAGCAGAATGACAGTAGCCAGGGCCGGGAGCAGGGGAAGTTGCTTAATGGGTAAAGAGTTGCAGTTTTGCAAGCTGGACGTGTTCTGGTGGTTGGTTGCATACATTGTGAATGTACTTAATACTACTGAACTGTACATATAAAAATGAGTAAGACGGTAGGTTTTTTTGATTATTTGTATTTTCCCACAATTTTTTTAAATCATGGGGAAGATTTGGGACGAACGCCCTTGGCGTTCTTTTTTTTTTTTTTTTTAAACATTTTATTTATTTATTTGACAGAGAGCGACACAGCGAGAGAGGGAGGGAACATAAGCAGGGGGAGTGGGGGAGGGAGAAGCAGGCTTCCCGCCGAGCAGGGAGCCCGATGCGGGGCTCGATCCCAGGACCCTGGGACCATGACCTGAGCCGAAGGCAGGCGCTTAACCGACTGAGCCACCCAGGCGCCCGCCCTTGGCGTTCTTGATGGTCTTGGAACCATCAATTGTGGCCAATGGGCAGGGTCAGCTCAGAACATCTGAGCCTCCACTCCTACGAAGAAAGGAGCACTGAGTATCTGCTGCTGCTGGCCTTCATATAATTTGAAACTAGTAAGACGCTGGGAAGCTCTAGAACCCTGTGGCTGAAAAATATCTGTGGCAAAGAAAATCATAAATGGAGCTGAAGAGTCATTGGAATTTTTGCAGAAGAAACAATCCTGTATTTTTTTTTTTTTTTACAAGGAAAAGGAAGGGTGAAGTATTTCTTCTGAGTTGTCCAAGCATAGAAGAATAAAATTAATAAATCTCAGAAGTTCAATCCGAGATGCCAGGACAAGAAGGGCAGGAGAGACAGAGTCCTTTTTTTTTTTTTTTTTGCTGAAGCCCTAGGATACAGTGTTCTTGCATGATCAGTATTTCCCAGTGATGTATGATCTTCAGAGTTCAGGCCCTTAAGGTCATGTATAATTTGCAGCAATAATGACTTAGTGATTTTAAAATAAAAACGTCTTTCTTTTGTAATGTCATCTAACACTTTGGTTCAGGATAAAATGTTAATAATTGATTTTCTGTTGAAACTTGGTTTTCCACTGGGGCCGGTACCTCATACTGAGTAGTCTTACCCGCATGGGTGATGAAATGGAATGTCTGAGAGACACTACATCAGCAAAACAGCTCAGAATTCTGAGTATTGACAGAATTTGAGATGAGGTCATCAGGCCGAGCTGTGCAAAGGAGGGGAAGGAGAGGGGATATATGATGTTTGCCTTCCCAGCCCTCTGCCTTTCCTCTGTGAAGACCATCCCACTGTGGGACTGAACTAATCACACCTCACTTCAGTACTGGGGTGCTGTCAATCCTAGTTCTCTGCACTCCTGGGTGCAGAAGTAGGTGTGTGACCCAAAGGCCCCAGAGTCCTTTCAAGGTGATTTTCAAACTAGAAGCAAGGGAAGAGAGTCCCTTCTTCTCTCATGGCAAAGACAGGACAGTCCCTGGCCATGGTTTCAGGCCTGAGGAGAAAGCCAGTTTGAGAGAACGAAATGATGTGAAGAGAGAAGCAAAAATGGGGGACAGAGACATATGCAAATACACAGCTTACAGCACATGGGGGTTTTGTCCAGGTTGTCCCTGAAGCAAAGCCTCACCCTTGTCCACCTCCTTGAGGTTTGGCTCCAGGTTCCGCAAATGGATTCATTTCCCCTCTGCCTAAGCTGGTCAGAGTTGAGTTTCTATCATTTTCAATGGAAAGAGTCCAGGAATACAGCCCAGAGCATCTGCACAGGCCACCCAGCACTCATAGGATGAGGAGGTGTCCCTTGAAGATAAACTAGTGCAGGATTAGGTTCCTGCCTTCCCTTCCTGGGAAAACAAGGAGTAGCAGGAAGTAGGCTTGAACCCTGGACTCTGCCTTCTGCTCCCATCACTAACTGCGCCATCTTGGATGAGTTATCTTCTGGAACTCTGTAAAACGAGGGGGCTAGACAACGCACGCCCTCCAAAGGGCATTCCAGCTTATATTATTTCAAATATTGAAATGTCAGTTTGATTTGTGCTACTGAGTCTTCTCTTGGTTTTGACCCCAAGTCTGCCTTTAGTTCTTTGCCTGAGTCTTGCTCACTTTAACAGGGTTTAAACGTTAGTCCTTCCTTTGTTGGCTAGAGGGAGTAAGACAGGGAAAAATAGCGCACCCTGTATCTCCCCAGTTGAGTTCTCAGATATTTAATAAAGAGAGGATACCTGTTATTGGCAGCATAGGGCATAAAGAAGGCAGAAGAAAGAAGAATCACCAACTGTCCTTGGCATTTTCTGCTCCTGAGGCTGAATGCTGCCATGGGCTGATGTTTTGCTGCAGGACAGAAGTGGCTAAAAATGCACGGGATATGCAGACAGAGTTGAGTTCTGCTGTTTGGGCAGTGGTTAGAGTTGCTACTTTGGAAGACTTGGAAAAACTCCTTGTGTAGGTATGATTCCCCCAACCTAATTATGTAAGAGCCTCTCAACAGCCTGGGATTATTGTTCTTAAACAAAATACACTGGGGTTTCTCCGTTCTTTTCAGGAAATATCTTGTCTGTGTTGTGAGGAAGGGGAATAGTGTGGTGTCTCTTGAATAGGGTAAGTCCCTCTGAAAAATATACTTGCTTCTTCCTTTGAAGTGTGTGTGTGTGCAAAAAGTTAAAGAAGATTATGATTGGTTGACACCATGAACTTTTAGTTTTTGTGTTGGGAGAAATTAAAAAACGGATTCCTTGGAATAATTCTGCCTTCAGAGAGTTGGCTGAACTTCACAGCAAAAAATCCTTGCTTGGCTGCCTGCTAACGAGTGAACTTCACCAGTTCTGGACCCTGGGGCTATCTGGACTGTTGGGAAGTCTTACTCTCAGACAGATGGGGGAGTTTTGTATTTATATTGACACTGTATTTAACAGAGAATAAAAAAGACAAAGCCCATTCTCTAGTTTCTGTCTCTTGGTATGCTCTAATTTTTGTTTCCTGGTGCTAAAAAGAATCAAAGGGTGGAATGGCTCAAAGAGGACAGACATCCCCAGTTTTGGTTGTCCCTAAAGTAGCTGGATCTCACAGTATCTCTGAACAAGCAAGACAGGAACCTGAGCAGTTCTGGCTCCTCCATGGGCTCGCCTACCCCCACCTTCTGCTACCAACCATCAAACAGAATCTTCTCGACAGATCTTATCCCTGGTTTATTTCTTCCTCAGGCCCATGGAGAGGAGTAGGTTGAACAATCATTGGCTCAATTAATTTATCTTGCTTAGTTATACAAAAGAAAAAGAAAGAAGAAAGAAAGAAAGAAAGAAAGAAAGAAAGAAAGAAAGAAAGAAAGAAAGAAAGGAAAAGAAAGAAAGAAAGGAAAAGAAAGAAAGAAAGAAAGGAAAAGAAAGAAAGAAAGGAAGGAAGGGAGAACAAAAGAAAGGGGTGTGTGTGTGTGTGTGTGCTCGCCCAGGTATATGCACATGCACATATATGCATATGGCCTTTTATTTGTTTTTTTAACCTTCTGAATCAAAATTTGCTTAATATCTATTATGTAGAATAAAAAAGCAAGATGCAAAGCAGTGCTTATATTATGTTACCTTATGTGTAAAAGGGAGAGAGGGAATAATTATATATTTATATTTGCTTGTATTTGCTAAAGAAACTTGGGAAGATACGAAAGGAACTGACAAAAATGTCTCCTAGTGGAGATGAGATGGAAGCTAGCTGGGTGGGAGGATAAGGAAATTGTCACTGTACATCTTTTATATGTTTGATTTTTGAACCATGTGAATGTATTACCAATTCAAAAAATAGACTCAGTACCTAAACTAAAACTGTCTCAAAGGTTGGACATTCTCTGTCTATGCTCTGAATATGTATAATGTTGGAACATTTTGTTTTCATTTTTTAAAATATTTTATTTATTTTTTTGAGAGAGAAAGCAAGAGCAGGAGGAAGGGCAGAGGAAGAAGCAGGCTTCCCGCTGAGCAAGGATTCCCCATGCAGGACTTGATAACAGGACCCTGGGATCATGACCTGAGCCATAGGCAGACACTTAAAGGACTGAGCCACCCAGGCGCCCATGTTTGAACATTTTAAAAGCAATCATGTGTTATATATGCCTCAGGAAAACTTCAAAAGGGAGAAGACTGTTATGTAACAACACATGCTGTTAACATTTTTCCTAGGTAAGGACATCTAGAAAAACAAAGGCGAAGTACCAGATACTTCTCTAGGGACCAAGACTGTGTAAATGCACCAAGTTCAAAAAGTAGGGAAGAAGAGGGACTCTCCCAGCCACGGGGTCTTCTAACACAAACGTCTCTAAATTTAGATCACCGATCAGTCAGAAAGCTTCTCCTCTGAGTCACCCCCTGCCACCCTGCTCCTCTACCCACCCCTTCTTCCCGCACAAAATGCATCGCTTCCACCACCTGCAAGTCACCGAGGGCTGCCGTGAACTCTGGTGCTTGCTCCAAGTCAGGGCAGCGCAGACGGATCCAGCGCCAGTTTAGTAGGACAGGCTCCCACTTGCAGCCTCACTTACCAGTGAAAACACTTACCTAGAATTCTAATTGCGCCGCGACGTGTTCATACTCGATGCAGAGAGGAAGCCTTCAAGTCTCAGCACATGCCCGGGGCAGGACGGGCCTCAGCAACTCACCATGTTGCAAAGTGCTACGCCAGGATCGCCAGAGTTTCTCACGGTCCAATGTCCAAGCTCACCCCACTCTTTAAATATAGCGGACTTTTTTTTAAAAAGATTTTATTTGAGAGTGTGCGCGCACAAGAGGGGAGGTGGGAAGTGGGGGGTGGGAGGATGGGGATGGGGGAGGGGCAGAGGGAGAAGCAGACTCCCCGCTGAGCAGGGAGCCGGATGTGGACTTCATCCCAGGACCCCGGGACCATGACCTCAGTGAAGGCAGATGCTTAACCGACTGAGCCACCCAGGTGCCCCTAAAAATAACCAACTTTTAGAAAATGATTATTATTTTTTAATATTCACTATAGAAAATTCTGGAGCAGTAAGAGATACAAGTTCTTTCTCCTAGCAACAAAGACTGTCAGCATTGTTATTAATTCCTTCTTCCTGCCCTGGACATTCACTCAAAAAGTATCTACCAAGCACATACTGTGCTGACGCTGGAGGTCCAGGGTGAACAGGGCTGGTGTGGTCTCAGCTCTCAGAGGATGTGAGAGGTGGACAGTGACTAAGTACACGAGTGTTTCAGAGACGTGGCAAGTTCTGAGAGAAAGAGCCTGGGAAATATGGTGAGGAGGAACCGAAGGGTACACTGGGGGCACTTTCGATGAGGCGGCCA